TTTTGTGAAATAAAGCTGTTTTGTGAATCACGGTTTAAAACTGATGTGGTCGACTTCAAATTTTGCACACTGAGAACTGAAATAAATAACTAATTGAACAAAAAGTAAACTTCAGGTTTTAGCTTAACTTTCAGTTGTTCCTTTTTATTCCCATTAACCCTGATTAACTAAACATGCTTTCGTGGTATGATTGGGGCATTACACATGGAAACAAGCTTTGTTATTTGTTTTCAAGTCTGTGAAAGTACTTTTGTAAAAAGCTGGCCCTTTGTAATCTTGATATACGAACGATTGAGACAGAGAACGATATTGCAGCGTCCTCAAAAGTTGTTTTTTTACTGCCTGAAGCATGCTTTTACGACTTTACAAAGGACGTCACTGACCACCCTTTTGATGCGGAGGATATTGTTACTTGAAAGAGGTTAAAGTCACGGCATTTTTTGCAATTCAGCTCATCCCTTTAGTAGTAAACTCCATTGGACTTTCTTCTAAAATAGGGAGAATATTTTTTATCAGTCATATAAAGCAAGTGACAAATTCTGTTTCGGAGCTCAAAACAGTACTTTGGGAATATCATCCATACTTTGCTTTTGTCCTGCGTCTTGAATTTTCAACAGTTTCTGTGAACGTTTTTGCTGTGAGGTTGAATCATATTCTAAAATTAGTTATTCAATGTTGAAATGTCTTTCCAATTTCGTGCCATTGGCCCGTTTACCATTCCTTCTGATGGGATACCTGACGGAAATATTCCTAGGTGTTCCAGTATCGCTGAGACTTTGGTCTCAAAAAACCGAGATTATTAATGATCCATTATTGGTGTGACTGAAAACAAATCCTGAGTACTTATTAAATTCCTCTTCTAAGTTTTACAACTATGTCATAAGAACGCGACATTTAGTTTGTCCAAATAAATTAATTTGGCAACGAAAATTACTCAACGTGCCTCTTAATTAAGAAGTGAAAAGAGGAGAAGTGTTTTGTGGTTGTGTCGTGATTCTAAGTACAAGACGATGCAGTTTTTATTAGAAAATACGATTTGGAGAAGTTAATCGTAAAATCATAAACGATATGAGGCGATATCGTTTGATGCTAAGCTTTACCGATTCCGTGATGCGGGAAAGACAGGAAACTAGCCATGACAGAACTATGGTACCATAGGATACAATATTTACGTTACAGGGTACTCTAACTTCCTTCGGATTTCCGATAAGGAAATCTTTCGCAACAGATAAGACTTATAACTTCACAAGAAAGGAAAAACTATATTCAGGTCAGTAACTATGCCGCAACCAATGAATACGACCTCTTACGGAAGTTAGTCAAGTTCTCTTGTGGGTTGTAGTGAAACTTTCTGTTAAACTTGATCCCTACGATGTACACTGTATGTTCAGTGTCATCAGTTGTAATATAAAGAGTGCACTCTATCAGTTAAGCAGTAAAACCGTGTGATAGATGCTTCTTCAGATAATTTATATTTCCTAACAGATTGAAAGCTCAAAACAGAAAGTTTTTGACACTTATTCGCCGGGAATACCAATCTTAAGAATCAAATAGCGACAGGTAAACAATCGAGCTCATCGCCTGATGAAGAATAGCAGTAATGCATACGAAACTGGTCGCGATCTACATCAAAAGTGACTCTATCGTGAGACAAACGAACAATGTTCATTTTCCATAAGAATCAAGTTTGTAACTCGAGCGTTTCTTTATACATTGAGAAAGCACACACTTTGATCTCCATGCTTCATTATTAGCAGACAAAGACTGAATCCTTCCGAGGCTCATATGTAAGGGGAGTTTTACCGTGTTTTCTTTCTAGATTCATCTAGGGGATCTTTACGCATAAGGAATTTAGGTAAAGACTTTCAATATGGCTTAACTAATTCTGATGTGACAAAAGCTCCCACAAAATTCATTTAACATTATGAAATATGGCTAAGGAGGTCTTGTGGATTAATCACCACTTGCAAAGAGTAAACAAAACTGGTCAGTTGTCCCGAGAAGATCTTTGTTAAAAGATATTTGCAAAGATTCCTCCAAGTGTGGGTCATGACAGTCAACTTCACAGAGTTGATCATATGAAGCTCAATGCAGAGAGTTGTTGATAGTCATTTACTGGGAAGCACAATCGTGCGGATCAAGTTTGTTTGGGGAATTCGTGCACAAAAAATAAATTGCCTAGAGTCAACCGAAAATAACACCAGAGGCACGTATACATTTCAATTTTTTCCGCCGACTGTGGCACCCGGCTTCAGTGAGTGACCAGCCCGTCAGCATAAACTTCCTTTATAGGCGAGACAGGAACTAACGGAAAGTTTCAGCTTGTTTCAGCTTCAACAATCTTCGCAGCAAATTCCGCTATCTCTTGCACAAGATCTCGGCTTTTCTCAGCACATGGACAAAGCAATCACTTTTATCTCCTTGCTTCTTTGTAAATAAGCAGAAAGGCTGAATTCCTGAAAGCTTGTATATTTAATCTAAAATTACCTTTTGAACATTCTAGAACACTTGGGTGTGATTGCGGTTGGCAGTTTTTCCGTGTTTGCATTCTAAAACCCCGGAAAAGGCGGAAAACCTCCATTCAGCCATATTTCATAATGTTAAATGAATTTTGTGGGAGCTTTTGTCACATCAGAATTAGTTAAGCCATATTGAAAGCTTCGTCTGCCATAAGAATTGCTTGTTTACCTAAATTCCTTATGCGTAAAGATCCCCTAGATGAATCTAGAAAGAAAACACGGTAAAACTCCCCTTGCATATGAGCCTCGGAAGGATTCAGTCTTTGTCTGCTAATAATGAAGCATGGAGATCAAAGTGTGTGCTTTCTCAATGTATAAAGAAAAGCTCGAGTTACAAACTTGATTCTTATGGAAAATGAACTTTGTTCGTTTGTCTCACGATAGAGTCACTTTTGATGTAGATCGCGACCAGTTTCGTATGCAATACTGCTATTCTTCATCAGGCGATGAGCTCGATTGTTTACCTGTCGCTATTTGATTCTTAAGATTGGTATTCCCGGCGAATAAGTGTCAAAAACTTTCTGTTTTGAGCTTTCAATCTGTTAGGAAATATAAGTTTGAATTGAGAGGTTATAGAAGACTGAAAAAGACAGATCGAGAGTCCTTCGTGCTTTCGTAAAAGTGTGATGCGGTCTGAAGCTAGTTTCCCCTCCATTGCGACCAAACAATTCGATTACAACTAAAATTGTATGACCCTCGCGCAAATATCTTTCGATAGAGATCTGCGCGTGGTATTCAATTACTTTTTTCAAGTGGTGATCAATTTATTCAAATCAGAATTACCTAAACCATATTAAAAGTCTTTCATTTATTTGACCTCTTTTGTCTTTTATCGAGCCGTTAGAAGTGTAGCTGACCCGTGATAAGTAAATCGTGATTTATCTATCAATACAACTGCGGCTGACCTCCGGTGACTTGAACGTTCGCAAGTAATTGAAAAAGATCCAAGTCTTTGGGAATTAAGAGGAGTTAAAACCGGAGATACGGAATCAAAAGCGTTTATTTTAAGCAATTTTAGAAAGGTAAAGAAACTTCGAGTGATCCTGGAATAATTTGCATGTATTAAGCGGCGAAGCCTTATGAATTGACTACACGCGCTGCGGTTAAATGTTTTCTTAATTGCACTGAAGTGAAATTCTTTTCATGAGAGGAAAGGGAAAGGGAACAAAGCATCACAGGACGAAATCACATGTTTCCGTATTTCTGAAACGTGGCGGAAACATGCAACTCCATGTTTCCGTTATGTTTAACATGCACAAAAAGTGGTCCGGTTCCGTTGTATACGCAGCAACGGAAACGCGAGAAAACGTCACGAAACCGGTAACTGAAACACAGGTTATCCGTCGTGTTTCCAGAACGGTTTAACATGTTTCTGCCACGTTTCCGTTTACGGATTCTTGTAATTTCGTCCTGTGCATCCGCAAATGCTTACCTATCAATTCAATATTAAGGACTTAAGTACAATTGTACAGTTACTGCATCTTGTCCTGTCACGAACTGAAAAACATTATTTGAGTACTCGAGGACAAAATTGTAAAGAAAATGAACCAACGTTATTTTCGACATGGCATGCACATAAACAAATTAGTTTACCCATGAGAAAAGAATCCGTTTTATCGAAATAACATCACTTACTTTATACATCTTGAAAGTAATTTATCAAAACTTTACCTTAAAAGTATTGCCAATGTTTTTCAGAGTTAACTTTGCATTACATATTCAATTTTAAAACGTGTGACATGATTCAAGGTTCCAAGATATGACTTATTGAGCGGACATGACAAGTCATTCTGAAATACACTACTCGCTTACACTAGCTATTGCTATTTTCGGGCTAGTGTATCCTATGTAATGCATATTGGTGATTATCGATTTCTAAGTAAACTTGCTGATTCGGTAAAATGATGTTTCAATATTTTTCAATGGAATCTAAACGAGCAGGCCGGTCAGCTTTTCCCGGTTATGCTGACTGCATTTGGCCACGCAAAAGGGCTTTTCCCGCAGACTACAATAATAAAATGATTACGTAAGATTTCGCCAAACAAGCAACTTTTTGATAAATGGGATCAGTTTGATGAATAGTCATTACCCACGAGTAGCCAAAACTAATTTCTCCCGCAGTACCAATACATCTTCATATACAAACGGGGATGGAAAGACGAAAAAATATCAACAAGGAGATACCGTTGAATTTTAAGTGCTGAAATTAAAAGACGTATTCCGGCAGACAGCACGAAACATTGACCCTTATATTACGGGAGGGAAATACGAATGTATATTGGCGGATGGTGAACGCGGTTGCTTGGTGACCAATGCGGATATCGAAAGTTATCACTTGATATTGTGTCGACCGTGCGTGTATGTTACTTGTCAAGTTTGTCATGATGCCCTAAAAATAATCTTATTACTCATACGTGTAGACGATTATGCCAAGTCCATATGTAAAGCTTGATGACGTCATACTGGGCCTTTTACGATATAAATTAAGGCTTTGAAAGAGCTTCTCATTCAGTGTGAGTCGAGACCTGCCTTAAAGAAGTTAGAAAGAGCTTAGAAGCTGGGGAGAAGCACATCTTTGTGTCCAAAAAGGTAAGGCCTTAGCTGATTACTGACATTCGCCGTAGGTCAAATGGATATCGTGGAGAAAACTGAGAATTTGTTGATGATCCATTAGAAATCTGTTAGTGCAAATGTTATGTCGAAATGTAATTCCGAAATTGGCTGGTTGACCAAGCGACTAATTCCCACCAAAATGGCTACATCATTATTAGTAGAAAAAAACCTCGCGGTGATTGCATGCCTTACAAAAAAATTCAGAATTATGGCGGCCTGTGACAAAATGACATGAATAAGAGAAAATTTACAGCAGCTGAAATATAACTTTATAAACTTAAAGGAGCTTATATTTTTTTCCTTCCGTTCTCTGACGCCCAGGAAAAACTAAATCGAAAAATTCCGCTTTTAGAGAACTTTTCATGATTTTTTGAAAAATGTCTGATTTGTGAATTCAATGTTGGGATAGTTCCTAAGGGCATTTCGGTTTGTTCTTGAATGCGCAATTGAATTAAAATCAAGGATAAGTGATTAAAGAGGAACCATTTAACGCCTACGCAAACAATAATTGCCTACTTGTGGCAGCGTTGTTTTACTAGTATTATTACTGATATCTGGAAGCCGTTTATACCATAACAGAAGGTGACGGCGCATAAAACGCAAAATCGGAGCGAATCGTGTAAATACTTTTTTCTCTTATTTCGATTCGCGAGTCTGATACATTTGAAACAAGAGCCGTAGTTGATAAGCGACAAAGAACATAAAATCTTTTGTTGTCGAAAATCATTGTTTGAGAACCATGACCTACTTAAGTAAGAAGTTTTTTTATTACTAATTTCGAGCACCGCTATCAATCAGAGCTAAATTTGAAATTTTCGTTTCGTATTTGCAATTCCAAAATTGAAAGTTGACAATTTGGATGTGAACCATTTACTCAGGCGGCAAATCCAAACAAGAAAGCAACAACTGCTAACTTATTAGTCAGAAGTTTTCTTCGGTAAAATGCGCTCTAATGTATGCTGTTTGATTGCTACTGACATTATATATACCAGCGATTAACCATTGTTTGTTTTGCTCGCAAATCAAGAAAGCGAAAACCACGCAACAAAAATCTATCACTTTTAATTCAACTGAATCCGCTTGATATCAGGTTGTTTTGTTAAGTTTCGTTAGTAAAGACGGTTATAATTTGAAACTTCCTGTCTATCAAATGACGTTGTAAATGCGTCAACAGGGTTCAATGACGTCATCGGCAATAAATAGTATCTTTCTTTTTATTTCCTCTCATTGTCAGAAAACTTTGAAGATTCCTAAAGGGAACACAACAAAATATCTCTTTGTTACAGCTGATACAAGTCTGCTTTGCTCTGTTGCATCAAGATTAATAGACATACCTTTTTCCTAACTTACTGCAAAACTAAATTTAGCCAACTGACTGGTACTTTACGGAACTCGGACGTCGTATCCTGTAAATGATGTCGTGCTCACTGATACTGAAACACATTTACGTCTAATGAGTTTATATTGTCTGTTTTTTTATACTAGCATAAGGAACGAAAGAAGAAGTGTCACATCAGTCTAAAAAAACAGGATTCAGCATTGAGAAAGTCAAAGAAGTCATGGATCTGAAAGTAAAGGTTAGATTCCACTTAACAAATTAAATCAGACTAACACATCTCTCTAGAGGCTATTCAGATACACCTGTTAAAACAGAAAATGTTTTGTTTGTTTGTTTGTTTGTTTGTTTTTTAATGCGTGTTTGCCACGTTATCCAGAATCCTGAATTCACTTATATTTAGCTATTCAACCAAACAATTATATTCACCACCCGAATAAATTTCGTTTTTTCAACAAGATTTCCTTTTCTTGTTTCCAGACGCATTCGATTCAACCACCAATTTCTACTCAACTCTCTCAGCCTTCTTTTGGTCGTTATTTGAGTGATCTATCATTTTAGCATAAATGAGTTTCATTGGTTAAAACAAACTCTCCAGACCATTTCTTTTGTAGTCCACAATTATTTCACAGTCATTTCCAACCCTAAAGCCAAGAATGAGGAGTTCGTGACAAAATCATGATCTCCAAATGAATTTTCCGTAACTCATAAAGTAACCTCCTTTAGGCATATAAATTGCCAATCTTTGGAGATAGATCCGCTCTCTTGAGCATAATCCGAGAGCTAAGTATTCAAAAACTTGCTTCAGTACCTCCTATCGATAAGACCCAAGGCAAGGCAGGGGGATTTTTATGCATCGTGGCTGTAAGAACCCGATTTTGAAACAACACCACCAACCGCTCTTATCTCAGTATTTCATATCACTTCAAAGATGAGTCATTTATAACGTTGAGACAATATGCCTCCTCTCGACTGATTTATCTTACATGGCATTCATCGCAATAGAATTCGATTTAACTCCACCAATCTTTTTTTTCTTATTTCTTTATCCATTGAACAGCTGTTAGTTGTCCTCCCTGTTATTTTCCTTTTCATGGAAGTCGTACCAAGTCTCGGATTCCGCCGATACAAGAAGCCCTTCCCTACACGACTACCAAATGTCATAACCAAAGAACAATGTGGGAAAGTGTGGCCTAAACTTCCATCGAAGAAATCTAGTCGCTTCCTGAGAGGCCCAGTGTGCACCCGACCTGATGACACCGTTCTGTTCGAAAAGCTGAAGGATATTGGTGGCTTTAACCCTCGATACGTGGCAATCAACCGGACAGAGGCCATGAAATTTCCAAATCTCCTCGCAGATAGGAACTCTGTGGCTGTTACCCGACCCCCAAAACTGCACACCGTGAAGGCTTCCGTCAGCAACTCCTCAGTTGGGAAGAAAATAGGAAAGAGAGAAGCAGACAATTTACCCAGGGCTGCAGGCACTATCCTGGATCAACAATGCTTTGATGCAGGTTCCATTGTTGAAGGAAGCGGCTTACGGCGTCTCTGCAGCGAATGCTCAGCCATCACGCAGCTACCAGATGATATCTTCCCTCGATTCATCAATGAGATTATCTGCGAAGAAAGCAGCGAGTCCTGTGGCTCTCCACTTATAGGCCTATGTCAGCAGAGGAATTTGGAATTTAGGTTTCTTCAATTCACAGGAAATTTTAGAAGAAACTTCCTGCTTAGTCTAATACTTAATTTGGATGTGTTTGTCGAAGATACAGTCGAGTTTGATCAAGATGTTAGAGGATGTTGCGAATGCCGCACATTCAGGGCATGAATAATTTTTAAAAGTGCCAGACGCGGTAATGAACTATTCTTTATGAAGTTCAATTTTAGTTCAGATCTATTTCCTAGTAGCCTTTATTGATGCGCAATATATTTTAGAGAAGCACTAACAAAGACACGTTCATTTCATTATCTATTAGATTTTGCAAGACTAGTGGGGAAATCGCCTACGTGGCGAATTTCGCAAGGCAGTGGCATTTAAAGCGAAGGATTCTAGATGGGAAAGTATTATTTGATTGCGATAAAGAACTTACTCTCAATATCTCTGCTTTTAAAGACGCACAACGGAAGTTTCAGGAAAATGACAGGAACTGCATTTTTTAATATAAATTTCAAAGCACAATGTGATGATGTGATTACCACAGCAACATGCGATATGCTAATGTTTTGATCTAAGTTAAATTTTTCCTGTGTAAAAGTAAAAACGATTGTACTAAATATAGATATTGTACTTGATAAATGTGGGGGTAGAGTCTACCTTGGCATAAAGTGCTCAATGCTGTCGTAGCAGAGCTGAGTATATATAAGTGAAAGAATCAAAGAGGACGCATCGATTCTCTGTTACGAGCGCTTAGGCGCGAAACTCAGAGTAACAGAGAATCGATGCGTCCTCTTTGATTCTTTCTTTCTTTTATTGTACTTGATATAGATATTACTAAAAATGCTTATGAAAAAATAAAGGCTACCACATACGTGACAATACAAAGAAGTGCTTCTTGGTCTATGCATTTCTAAGAAGGAACTGAAATTTCTGGTGGAAATCCCATCGATAACAACAGAAACCGAGTTTCGATTCGATACCGAACGGATCTGGTCTTTTTGCATGGAAGTGGATCCAAAAGTTACCTTGCCCCAGCGATTCAGTTGGAATCAAAATGAATATATTATGAAATGAAAAGTTTTAAAGTAACGAATCGTTTTTGCTTGAAATGATAACGATAATTTCCACTCTTGGAATTTTCCTACTTGGTATCATAAACAACACATATAATATCGATTCTCCATGTACCTACTGTAGTTATTGAAAAGAGGGGTCACACTAACTTTCCGTTACCTTCTAAGTTTATAATTTCCACTCGTGTTTGTAACACCAGTACTTAAATCCTCAATAAAACGGAACAAAATCTCATTCAAATTTATTCGTGAAAGTTTAGTGAGATATGGATAGGATGTCCCTTGGTTAATTAAATACTAATTTTGCCATATGTTTCTATCCCCATTATGCCTTTGCACGCCCAATATTTTTCTTTGTCCGACCTCTTCTGCTCTAAATCAATATCAGCTACAATAGCGAAGGTGTTGATTGCAGGGAGTATCACTTATTGAAATCTTTGTAGTTGGACGCATTTTCAAGAAATTTGTTAAGTGCCAAAAGGTAGGTTTAGGTATAATTTCTTCTGATTTTAGTGTTTAGGAAGAGGTTGGAATCACTATTAAATTCTTTCCAGTCCGTTCAGTCAGTGAGGATTTTATTATATCACCTAACCGAAATATGGAAAGAGCAAACTAAGGAACTTTGCAGTCATTCTACGAAGATCGACATCTTGAAACTGAAACTTGTGATTATATAGATAATGATGAGACACACGGATAAAAGTGAATTTCTGGTAGTCTTAAATTCATCAGTTTCCCTCATAGAAGAAATCTTCTAAACCACCTTCGTGTTAGCTTAAAATTTCTCTTTATAATTACAGTTCCATAATTCAGAGCGAGACTGGAGTAATAAATTATTCCTTTGTTGTACATATAGTAACACTGGAAAACCTTCAAACATGTTCGAAAATTAGACCTCACTCAACGGTATTTTGAGCGTATTGGCAAATTACCCGGTAATTTTTAAAGAATCCTCCTGTTGGTTTAGTGATATCACGCTTAGATGAAGCTAGGTGCAAATAATTTCTTTTTGTTACCAATAATTAAACAAATTGATACTAAGGTAGTTGCGGTCCTGACTTATTATCCAAAACAGAAAGTTTAGAGGAGGGTCGGGGGTAAATTTTAAAGATGATCACCCTCACATTCGTTACATACCGATACAAAGTGATGTAAAAGAAAAGTGATGAAAAAGGCTATAGAAAATAAAATGAGTACATTCCTAAATATTATCCATAAAATATCGATCGTATAGATATATGTTAGGATAATTTTCTTTTAAAAAATCAGTGAAAAGATGTGATATTCGAATCAGCGCAATTTTGAAAATCATCTTATTGAGAGAGAGAACATCCTTTCTAGAACTAACCTATAACAATAATAAGAAACGATATTGCCAGAACTTGTTTATTCGGTCTGCATTACTGAACTTTATATATCTTAATTCCGTTGTTGGTAGCGAAGAGAAAGAGAGGCCAGGGAATTGAGAAGCTTAAAATTAAGCTGATATGAAGTTTTTTAAGGTGAGAAAATTCATACTCTTGCTTGAATTTAATATTGTGGGACCGACATTTCGAAGTCAGCATTTTTCAAAGAATGATCATTACGAATGGAGTTCCAAACACAATTGTTATGTAACTCAAGGCCTCTATGCTTCAGTCATTCAAGGGGCTTGGGCACCATTCTAAAAACATCGGATAACATGGTTAGATTTTCTCTCGGTGGGGAAGCGATCTACCGAGAAAGAGAGATAAGGTTTTCATCTTCGTGGGGGGATTAATGTAATCCTTTCTTCTTCCCACGCACTAGGCTCAGCACGGGGTAAGTCGTTGACTGAGCTAAAATACCATTATTCTTAATCTTGAAGTGGAAACTATATGAAAGAAGCATTATTCTCTGAAAAAAATAAAATCTGCAATCACCTAATGTTCTCAAGCGCACTCTCACCTAAAATTTCTGATATACCTATAAATAAAAATATATATAAATAAAACCTTATCACTAAAAAAACCGAGGTTTATCTCCAAAGCAGGACATAACATGTAAAGTGAACGACGTCTCTTGCTCGTTTTTTTTTTCTCAGGTTATTTTCCTCTTTTCTCTGTGCATCATTCGATTTCCAACAGCCAACGGTGGGACAATTAGCAACAAGCAAGGAGGTAACGATATAATTACCATCCCACTTGGAAACTTATCAGCCATTACGGCTCCTACGTCCAGCCTGCAAGCATCCAATATAACTCTGAATGCAACCGGTGTAGCACCCACTGGAGGATCTTTGAACGATGGAAGCATTTATGCAACCCACGGGACTACAAATTTGGATCCCTCTACAGCAATGAAGTCAACAAGGAAACCTAAAAGGACCGTAAAAAGGATGTCGAAAAAAGCCTCGAGAAGCCGTCGTTGGAGTAAGACTAGGAAGAGTATGAAACACGGAGTCGCGCAAAGTGGGAGAGGTTTTGCAATCCAAAACTCCACCAATTATGCCGCTAAAAATACAACATCAGGACAGACCAATATTCTAAAGCGGTCACACCTGTCTCGTTCTAAGAAAGTCCATCCTTGCAACACAGTACAAACATCTGCGATGAATTACAGTGTCGGTAGCATCATGTGTCGCCGGTGGAAGAGCAGTGAGCTACAGCATCATATGAGCTGTTTGGGGTCATATAGTCATCGATATCTGGCATCTTCCTTCAAAGAAGCGCAACACTTTAAAGATCTTGACACAGGGAGGGTTCAGGACTTAAGTAGCTCCCATATTTGGAATCATTCGAAACACAGCGTTCAAAAAAGATACGTCAACATCAACCCAGGAGAAACATTAATCAGTCGGTGTCACGCGCGAAAAACGACCACAGAATCCGGCCATTTAAGGATCTGCCCAACCTGTGCAGCCATAACACGTCAGCCAGTGACGCCAAAACGATTTCCGGAGTATATTAATGAGCTGCTGTGCGATCCAAAAATGGTGTCTAATTACCTGCCCGGTATCGATGGCTTCTGTGTGCAGAAAACGTTTACGCTTGATCTTTTACAATTTACTGGGGACTGGGAGTTAGATACCGTACTGAGCGCGGAGGCAGGGTTCAATGTTTATAAGGAAAAATGGGAAATATATACTCAAAGAATACGGCGCCATTGCGCATGCGAGCTGTTGGCTTCAAGCCCGATGGCCAACTTCCTATGATTCAGCGCATATCTGCTACAATTTAGAGTTTTCTTTTGACGTCTAATCAATATCCGTGAAAAATATGATATTTGTGTTTCTTCATAATAAAGAACGCCACAAAAATAAGTTTCGAGGGAGATTTTGTGTCATTTGTAGTCTTCATCAGTCCATTCAGAGCCTGGAAATTTGTGCGATTTGCAGTCTTCATCATTTCAGTCAACACAGTTTCAGATGCTGAAATAAAGAGAAAGAAATCCTACGCAAGGATTCGATCAGTTGTAGCAACACGTATCGAGGAACACTTATATGCTAAAAATAACTGTGACCAATTTAGCACAAATTAATCTAGAATTTTTTGTTATTTTGCGTGTTCACCGAATATATTGTTTAGTTCCTTCCGTTTACTTTGAAAAGTGACGTTAAGCGACCGCGTACTTCGATATTTGCCTTATTACGTTAATTAGACATAACATATATATATTGAATACCGTATATCGCTGTACTTACTGAAGGAATATCAGTTCAATTCCTTTGTTGGCAGTGAGGCCAATTAGATACAAAAGAATAGAAAAACCGTACAATAATCAATGATGGGATTTGCCAAGGTAAGGAAATTCATACTTTCATTTATAGTTCTGATAGAGACATTCAAAATTCAGCATTTTGGTGATGAAGTGATACTAAAAAGCGTAGCTCTCCATGTATTTGTTTTATTTAGGAAACCACGCGAGCCAAGCAAATTGCTCAGTTCTACTGTCGTTAACAGAGGTTATCATTAAACGAGCCCCATCACTTTTAAGTACAGTAACATATTCTTTGGCTTATTTGTTTTTTTCATAAGATTGACGGGAATTAGAAAAAAAAACAAATGCTGTTTAACTAGTAAAAAGTTTCTTCATTGGGTCAGTGGAAAAACATCGGACAGAGAAAGCGGAAATTCTGATGTTCGCATCCTGAGACTTTTTTCTTTTTCTCGCATAGTTAACAGTGTCAAGAAAAGTTTCATCTCATGTTATTCGTCTACTAAACCAAAAAATAAACCTATTTTCAATTCTCTTTACAAACGCAGTTATTTATTCAAAAGCAAAGCGAAAGCTTACAGGGTGCATTGAGTAAATTTATTCTGACAACGTGGCCTCTTGTTGTTGATATTGTAACCTTTCCTGTACCTTTTTCCGCTCCTTTTTATACAATTCTTACGCACCGCTAAATGATGCACAGACCCAAACTGGATGCGCTTCTCATGTAACGACCATGAACGTAAATCTAAGATGGTTTTTTTTCTTCTATCATTTTTCTCAGGCTTTTTCCACATTCATGTTCCTTTCAATGTTCATCGTTCAACTCCCGACGGCCAAGGGGGCAACAGTGTCACGTTATGACACAATCTTCAATGCGCTTAGAAAGAATTTAGACTCTAAAGCACCGACACAGAGCCAAAACGAATCCATTGCAATTCTCAAAGCCCACATGGCTCTAACTAGAGATACTTTGGACACTGAAATAAGGCGATCAGACCTTGAAACCACAAACACGGCTCCCCCAACGCCTGCTGTGGCAAAGTTGAGAAGTAAACGAAAAAGGATCTTCAGTCTTCGTTCGCGTCAATGGAATCCTTTTAGACTTGTGACCCAACAGGGAAGGAAACACCCTACCAGGCCCTCAAACCTGCTTGGTTCAACGAATGTCCATCCTTGCAACACGGTACAGACCTCTGAGATGAGTTACACCGTTGATGGTATCAGGTGCCGTCGGTGGGATACAAGTGAGCTGCAAAATCGCATGAAGTGCATGGGAACCTACAGTCCTCGCTATTTAGCATCTTCCTTCGAAGAAGCACTAAGGTTTAAAGATCTTGATTCAGGAGATATTTTCGACCTTTCTAAATCGTACATTTGGCATCATCTAAATAACGCAGTTATCAAAAGAAACTCCAACATCAAACCAGGAGAAACCCTAATCAGTCAGTGTCATGAGAGGAAAACGCGCACAGAATCCGGGCATTTAAGGATCTGCCCAACCTGTGCAGCCATTACACGTCAGCCGGCAATGCCGAGAAGATTTCCAGAGTATATCAATGAGCTGCTATGCGACCCAAAAATGACGTCCAATTACCTTCAGGGCATTGGTGGCTTCTGTGTGCAGAAATCATTTACACTTGATCTTTTGCAGTTTAATGGAGAGTGGCAACTGGATCCGAAACGGAGTGTTGAAGCTGGGCTCGATGTTTACACGGAAAAATGGACAACATATACTCAAAAAATACGACGCCATTGCGCATGCGAGCTAGTGGATTCAAGCCCGATTGCTCGTATGTTGTGATTTGTGGCGTACACATCCTGAGTAGCTGAGAGTTTACACGTCATGAATTAATTTTAATTCGTTCCATAACATCGATAGGGAAAGCATTTACTTTTTAATAATAAGCCATGATTCTACGATTGTTAATTACGTAATTTCCATTTTGAGTCAAGTGTTTAAAGGATGATGAAAAGAGATACGTTCCCAGCTGTTCACGGACGCCAAAGAATTAAGTCAATTAAGATTGAAGCTAAGAAACTTGCTTGAAATAGGGCAGTAAAATAACAAGAATCTTAACCGGAGAAAAGAGGTGTGATTTCCCTGATATAATTTCCATTTGCATGCTTTCCGATTATGTTTGTTATCGCAGTTATCGTACGTGATTTAATTCAATTCTAAAATAGTGCTATCGCGTACGCCCTATGAACATCAGTGATTGCTCTAATCGTTCGTAATAGTAGTTTGTGTCGTTAATTACCTTCAGTTTTTACGTTTTCAAGTACCTCATTCGAGAATATCCCCCAGAATAAAGATTATCGATTTAATACTCCGGACAAGATACGTTGGTTTAAGAATCTAAACACATGACATACTTTTTCCAATTTAGGGCCTAAGATTGCAGTGGAAATATTTTTAAATATTAAGCTGTATTACGAGGGCTTTCACTTATGACCTATTGGAGAGCAGACGCATAGATGGCGTCACCATCGAGTAGCACACTCGGCTACGCCGAGTTTATCACTTCACGTGGCTCAAGAAATTGACATTGCCCTTCGATATGCCTCTGTTACTGCAAATGGTTATTGTAATATTTCTTTTTATAAAAAAAAAAACATATCTAAAGCTTGGTGTAATTGCTTTTTTTTAAGAAGAGCGGGACCAGATTTGAACGAATGTAAAGTCAGATCCTTGGATTGGGCCTGAGGGATCGAGGCGGAAGAATCGAACTGATAGGGATCTGACTGAACCGGGGAATTAGGTGGTAGAAATAGAGCCAGTGGGTCGCACCAGTAGGACCAGACCAAAAACGTACGGCGTGCAGTAGTTTTTCCCTCGCCCAGCGAGTAACAGAGATTATTTAAGCGTGTGCTTGTTATGCGAACATTATAATCATAGCAATTGGTAATTGATTTATCAGATTTTCGTGCTTAAGATATATTAAGACAAGTGAGATTTCAAGAATAAAGTTATGATTGATTTTAGCCTTTTAACGATATCCGAATATGAAGAACTTAATTAGCAAATGCAATATTTTCCCACTGTAACGAGGTGAATGCGTTCAATCAAAAGAGGTCGATCAACGGGAATATTTTCTTTTCGAAACCTCGGCAAAATACTGATTTTTCTTACCCCGCCTTGTAAAATATTATTCCGTAATCGTGAATTTCATATATAAGTATAAAAAGAGGAAATAGTGAGGGTTTTTAAAAATCTACCTTTCCTGTTGGAAAAATCTACCGTGGAGTATCACTAGTGTTGATATGATACCTGAGAAAATGTATCGTTATTCATTTGGTATCGTTGCTCCGGAATCTCACCTGCACTGTAAAGAATTCTGTTCAAGTTTAAATGCTTTGTTTACTTAATTATTGAAATTTAGAAGGAATTTGCCATTTAAGGGAACACATGGCGGTTATTGATTACCAATGGCAACGGGGGTGTTGTTAGTAAAAAGGCAAGGGCACGACTGAGCAGCGTGGTTAACAGATAGATAGGAATGAGAGATATCAGACCTACAGTTCCATAAGGGATTTATTTTGCGTAAGTTACATTGTTTAAATGTTCACGTCATGACTAATTTTTGTCACTCTAACGCGTGCACTTGCTTACTGTAGTAGCTTTGAAAAGATCAGCTAAGATAAGCGTTATGTAATAAAAAAAGATGGACATTTTGAATAAATTAGTCTACTAAGAGTTTGTAAGGGTTCCAAATACTTGACTCACAAGAAAAACCATCGAAAGAGATGAGCTAAGCGACAACGATTTGTATCTAGAGCTAGTGATCAGACAATGTCATCTAATGCATGTTTGTTTTATAGAAGTAAACTCATTAAAGCCAAACGACGCTGTCATTTCGTTACAGCACATTCACCACTTATAAGCTGCATGTCGAGTGGCGACGATCATCGTATTTTCTGTGCAGAATTAAGCTTGGAGTTTGGTAAATGAAGGTAAGAGTATTAATATTTCTTTCACCATGACAAAAAGGGTGTATTAAGGAACGTATGGGAAAATATTTGACGAAAAAAGATGGCTAATTCAAATTCTGTATCAATGTGTCTTCTTGTCATACACATTTGAGCGTGATTTATAGAAAACTAGTACTTTTTTATTTCGCTTTCGTCTCAAAAATTGTCTCTTTTAATCAAAGCAAAAAGCTCTACTTTTTTCTTAATGATATTTTATCCTTACGACACAACTGCACTCAGGCCTCACGCTTAAGGACATCGCCCATGTTCCTCCCTTGTTCGCATTTTAACATATCAGTACATGAGGTTAATTTACCGAAAACTAATCGCTTCACCATTTCTTTAAGATTGATATTTTAAAGGTTTTGACTGGTCGATGGGAAAGAAAACCTCTGTCTTTGTTTGATGAAATTTTTGGAAATATCAAATTGGTTTATTTTAGGCACACCAGTCCTGCTGAGTTTTCCATCGATTTTGCATTTGAAAGAAAGAAAACAATAGGATAAGGGCTAAAAACTAATACAAAGAGGAAAAATTACATTTATTCAACACTGTCACTACTGACAGATCAATAATTTTGGAGACAATATCTCTATCAAATTTATTTCCAAAAAGTTGGTAGCAATGTAATTGTGTGCAACTCCTTTGGAAAAATATCGATTGCCTTTAAGTGACTGTTGCTTTTTTTGTAGAGCCTGACGACTATGAAAGTAATTTAAAAACTTTATGGCGTGAGCCTTACTCTACCTGTGAGGCCCTGTTGTTATGAAATATAGCATACTATTTGTTTACTTGGCTCGATGTCAACCACAACAACGCTGTTGGTGTGCGATTTTAATCAAACTTGCAATTATTTTATGAAATTGTGGCTATGAAGAGGACAATTTTTCACTTTAAATATCTTGTTATCGCCAATAAACACTTATTTCATGTTTAAAATAATTTTTCTGACGGTAAACCTAGGGGTTACTTGAATTAATCTTAAATGCCATCGGACTTAGTGTCGCAACATGTTAGCATTAAAACATAAAAACTCCTAAAAAATCCTTATTAAAATCGGAGCAAAAAATCTACGTCTTAAATCTAAGGAGTTTCCTAAAACAAAAGGTGGTTTGTCAATCAAAGTGTTCCCTATTATTATTTATCATAAATTCATGTTTTGCAGATGTTAATGAAGCCTCCTTCCATACTCGCCATTACCGCGCTTCTCCTGTGGATTGTTTGTATAAGTCAAAGCGCTGACGAAGAAGAGTGGCTCCATGACAATATTCAAGGGCTTTCAGAGAACGATAGTTTTGGGCCCGTGGTCCATCCTTGTTTCAACACCACTAAGAATCAAACCGTCACCACTCCGGAAGGTCAAAAAATCCTCTGTTTGGTACCTTCTGAGGATGACCTGGTGAAGGACCTTGAAGCGTTGGGCGGGTTCAACAGGCGTTATACGGCCGTCACCAAAGAACAAGTGGACATGTACTTTGAGGATCCTTTCAAAACTGACTCAAAGCCGATCGAATGGGAAAGTAAATTCACTGGAAAACGCCGCCGTTCCATACATGAAAACGAAGAACGCTCCGCCAGCGATGAAACGCTTGAACGAAAAAAAAGAAGTGTGAGCGTAGGTGTTCAGAAATGCGAAAAGAAGGCCACTAGAACATCTGAGAACTTCTATCAACTCTGTGATGAATGTTGGTATATCACACAGCTGCCGCCGAATAAGTTTCCTCGGTACATCAACGAAAAAATTTGTGGCACAACTGGCGCATCCCTGATGGATATCTGTGCCGGTAATACAGGCTTTTGTATCCAAAAAGAAATTATCCAAGATCTCCTTATCCAGACCAACCAGTATGAAAAGATTCCGTCACCTGATCCTCAGTACAGCGTGGTCTACAAGCAAGTCTGGAAGCCATTCAGTCAGAAAATCAGAAGCTGCTGCCAGTGTCAGTCCTTTACGCCGTAGTCTGCAGGCTCAATTGGAGAGGAGGGTAGTTACGAGGAGTTATTTGTAGAAATTTGGAAACCATCACTAGCATAATTTTTGTCCGATGTAGAGGTATTCTTCGGACGTTCATCCTGTTGCATGAATCTTTCAAGTTCCGTAGAGAATATATAGTTTCTCTTTATGTACATGCGAAGATAGTATACCCTTTTATCCTGTGGGTAACTTGCAATAAATTTATTGAAATCCATTACTAATTTTTCAGAATATGGAGGCTACATTTATAATCCCTGACAGTAGGGGGGGGGGTTGGGTGGGTCCTCTGTTAACCCCCCTATATCCCTCATTTTCCCAACCACATTACCGCTGAACAAAATGTGTCTTTTCTCTAAAGGCTCATGTGACTCAGTATGATCACTAGTTTTTGTTACTTTGACAATTCGCTTAGAAAAAACTAAGAAAGGTGGTTGGAAAACTCACCCATGACTAATTACGAACACAACTGCAATCGTTTAGTCTTGAATTGCTCTATGGTATACTCAGATCATATAAATAAATAAATTCCTGTATAATCCTTCCGTTTTATTTTGGCATCCAAACAAGTCATGAGCACTTTATTTTCCTAAATCATTCTAAGCAGCTCGTGACAGTCTGCGACCTTTACTACATTTAGGCAGTTCCAAAAGCAGTTAGAACAAAATATGTTTCCCTCAAATCGACAATCTTAATAATCCCCACAGTATTAACTGAACGCTTCTCATCAGCTTATTCATTCTTGTTTTTCATATTACTACGTTCCCACCAATAGCGTAGCTCCATTTTCTGTATATAAATCAAACACAACCCACAATTCCTCTTTTCGCTCCGACGAAGGGCTAAAGCCCGAAACGTCGGCTTTACAAACTCTTTACGAAGGTCAGTTTACATTATCAACTCAGTAGTTAAAACCAGATTATCTATGTAATACCGCCTCACAGTTTCTTTAGAAGCTTGCTCGCCTTATAAGATTTATTTTGGGCAGTTTCCCTTTCAAAATTTTACCACAGCTGAAAGTCACAGCAACTACGAATCTTTTGCGTGTACGGTTCCCAGACCTGCTTAAAAGCTTTGAAATATAGCTGAGGATTTGGGGAATCCACCTCCACGTATTTTCCAGTACTAACTAGGAAGTCAATTAATATAAAACGCTGTATGCACATTCCGTGTTCCATGTTACAGCACAACTTGTCCCTTTTCCGACTTGGAGTTTCTTCATCGCACGCAACTTCATTGATATAACGTGGAAATCGACTGGAACTTAGTTTGGAAACTCGTTGACACTCGGTGCACAATCGGATCATTCCGGTCTCCGTTCGACCACCTCGGTAGTCGCAACGAACTTTCTTTGAACTCACAATGTTGTTCTCAAAGACTTCGTTGTGTGACACAGCTTTTCTATTACGTGACAAGTATGTCTTTTTCCGTGAAAATTCTTTCCTGTTGCGTGACAATGAAGACCTAAAATGATTCCATATGATAAGGAACGGTTTCTCTTCACCATTTGTTACAGGTGGTTGAGGGCCAGGAAGTAGATTGGTGAAATTCTCAGCTTCGCGTTCCGTCACCGCTGCATAATACTTATTTAACCCTCCTATGCTTTTCAATTGCTCCCTCAATTCTTCCTCTGTAGGAACCATGCACAAAATTAATTTCTTGCCTCCAAGATTACTATCATTGCTGATAGATTCGTTACACGGGCGACTTATTGCCTGGTCACCACGGTACTGCACAACACGCGTGGGATGACGCTTGGATGGGTCATTGACAAATCCATGCGTGCACAAGAAAAACGTAATTAATGAAAATGAATAAACTATTTCAACCTGAAGAAATGAAACAGGAAATATAAAAGTTACCTTAGGTGTTGCATAGTTAAATTCAATTCTACAAACCCAGCAAGAATTTTTTTTCTATTTTTTCTGGTATGAATTCCCGAAAAACAAATCACGCTAATTAGGAATGAAGTTAATTTACTCAGTACAGACCGTGAAAAGGAACAACCAAAAGCAGTTGAATCCGTGGGAGAAATTTAAGTTTCTTTTTTTTCGAGGGTTAGTGTCATGAATAGGCGCTGTGCCCATTACGTTACTAGAAAAAGCAACATTTTTTCGTTTTTTATCAGATATCAGTAGCATGTCTCGGTTGTAAAAGAGAGAAAGGGTTAATTTGCATCCAAGATAAGATGTGAAAAAAGCCTGATGTACGCTACCTTCAGTAAGATATCATGTAATGGCTAAGAATAGATAGGATTGAATTTTACGACCCGGTACCTTACAAAAAGCATCCAACAGATGTACGTGACTCCAAAGCTGGTTCTTTCGTTTTCAAATTAACCCTCCGACACAACTATCAAATTAAGGTATCTGTATAATGTACTGTATACTGTTTTAATACTAAAAATGATAGACGTTCTTACCTTCGGACGCATTTTGAATGATACAGCTAACTTTTCTGTACGTACACGAAAAAACGTTACTAAAAGACAATAACCTATTCAGTGTATGCCACAGGTTTCCCAAATTTTTTCACCTGTCGTCAGAAAAGGTGGATCCAAACTGAGCACACAGACAATGGCAAATATGTGATGACCCAGCTGATGAAGGATACACATCCCAGATTGCTAAACAAACGAAAAAGGCAACAAGCGGCTACCTTGCTAAACAGCATTGGACAGCTGATCCGGCAAAAGTTGCCACTTTATTTGTGGATCGAAAATCTCGTTTACTCAAAGAGTGCCACGATTGATCTCAAAGAAGAAAATTGATTCATCACTACAGTTTTCATACCTTTTCCTTCCAAAGAAAAACAAAACAAAACAAGAAAACAGAGTTAATTTGGTCCAGCTTCAAAGAAAGAATATAACAACTTTTAGGTATTAGTTTTTCAAGTGTTTGGGAACTTCCATTACGATTTAAACGCGAAACTAAATATTCCGCGTTCACGTTAACATTCTGGTGCCATGGAGGTGCTACTGCTGAGAACGCCAAATCGGAATTGTGTCCGACTGTCCTCGTAATAAAATTTCATTAAAAGACAGGAGGAGTACAATAATTTCCGAATTCAAACAAAAAGCATATCAACTAAGTAACTAGGCATTATTTATCGCGGGGGGAGGGAAGGTCGGAGGATTTTCGTCGCTAGTAGAGTGTAAAGAGGGGGCTTTAGACAATTGTCGGTATATGAGGGGGATCGTTAGAGTACTAAAAGGCTTGGGGGGGGGAGATAAAGTAAATGTTGTCGTTACTTCATTGTGGTACAACCAAAAAAAAAAAACGACAAATGCCACACTTTCCGAATATTATTTTCAAGCAAAATTGAACATTAAAAGCTATGGGAAATATACACCCTACACGAGCTAGACGATTCTATTTTCGGAAAATCCTCGTGAGGCGATCACCATTTCAAAACACTCCCAAACATATCATGACGACGTCACAAAACACATCCGTCGCCCGCGCCTACAAGAGCCAGACAAAAACACCGGATTTCCTCATCACTGAGTGAAACCGTCGGGCGAAGTGGGAAATTATAGATCTAGAACTGACGCAGGAGTTATCTGAAATTAAAAAAACAAAACAAACCCCCCCAAAAAAAGTCCGCTTCCCACCCATGCGAATTTAGTGATGTTGAAGTACGTCGGTCTGTAAAGATAGTATTATTAATCAGAAAATAGGATGATGGACCAAGAGAATTGCAAGAATTGTAAAAAGTAACATAAATGAAAAAATCATACAGTATATTGGTCAAAAATGTAACACACGCTAATTTGAATCAGTCATTCAAAGCATTCTTTTACCTAAAGCAGGAAGTGACACCAAAAGGGATAAGCTGTATACTTTTAGTTCCAGAATAAACACGCTTATGAAGCAACAACAACAGGAACATCAACGTAAGTGTAACCTTTGGTCAAGCAGGAAATCACATTGGCGTATGTCCCGTGCTCTGTCTCTAAGACGTTTCTAAATTAGATCCCTCTCAAACCTTTACGTAGCTGCAGGACCACATAAGGAGATCATTTACGGACAAAAAAAAACATTAAAAATAAAACAAGGAAACACTATGATCTTGGCTTCTAGACACACTTACTTCCATTGGTTATTTTCTTTCCGCGTTGTCGTTTCACCTCGCAAATATGCCGGAACCAGAGGCGAATGGGAATGTCCCTAATTACAGGACTGCTTAAGATCGCGCTCTATAAATACTAGTTAACTTTCCGCCGAACGCTGTCGAGAACTTTGTCAGCGGACTGAGCTGAAGAAGTCAAGATTTCCTCTGTCTGAAAGATTCTGAAACAGAAAAGGTATGTCATATTGAACCTTACGGTATTAATACCCATTCTATATCTACATCAAACTTTCACAACGGCAAGTTAACGTTCGCGCTCTTTGGTCCAGTAAATAACAGTGTGAATTAGCTATTAGTTTCGTTTCCTTCTCCTTCGCGTGGCTTTATTCCCAGGTCAGTATTTCTTCATGGACAAAGAAAAAGACCAAATTTTTAGTTCAATAAATGGTTCTGGAGATAAATTCCGCACAGCCAGATACTTCAACTCCAATTGCTGATCTTAAATCTTACTTTCACTGTCAACTATTTATTTTAGAATTGGACCGATCAGACTCCGTAAACAAAAAATGGACTTTAAAATATTGGTAAGAACTCTGAATGTCTCTTTTCATAATTAAGAGTAATCAAAAATTAATGTAATCTTTGTAACTGAAACTTGGCGTCATCATCCTGAGGTGGGAACAGAAAAAGCAGTTGGCAGACTGATCAGTCACTTCCGGAAAATGAACGACATCCTATGAGAGAGGAAAAAATTGTACCGTGACATTCCCTTTTTTCAGTAGAAATTAATTCTACCTGCCCATTGTATAAAAACCATTAGCACGTACTATCGACCATGAATCATGTTAGTCTAAAAGTGCGTTATGAGTCTTGACGATTGTTTTCTAGCTTTTGTGAGATCACCGATAATGTTGGAAACTCGCAGACAGCTATCGCTTTCTTTGGCAGTAAACTAGCTTGTAATGAAACAAAACATCCTAAATAAATTTTTTCCTTCTTAAAACAAATTCAAGTTAATTTCATAATTTCTCGTCTGCAGTTAGCTATAACCGCCATGGCTTTTTCCGCCTGTCTGAAATACGCAATGGCCAGTGGCATTCCCTCGGCCGCGGAGCATCCCACAGCTGAGCCAAATGTAAATCAGACGGATTTGGTGTTTACATCACTGACACCTGTCCGTTTTAAGCGACAGAGCCCACAATTTTTTCGTTGCAAGCGCCACAGCCGTGCACAGCTGATCCGAAAACTGAACAGGCTTGGTAATCAACGAGGGGGAGGTTATGGTGGTTATAATCGACGTTTCATGGCACTGACCTGGAAGGATGCTCGAAAATTCCAAAACCTTGTCACAACTGTGAGCACTTCTCCACTTAACTTCTCTATTATCAACAATCTCCCTCTTAGTGCTCCGAGTAAAGCAGGTACACTGATGTCACGCACCGATTGTCATGCAACGGAGAATGGGCTACTACGCATGTGCAGTGCATGTCCTGCTGTCACTTTTTTGGGTCACGATAGGATACCTTCCTTCATCAACGAGGTCAAGTGCGGACAAGGAATGTGTTCACATGGAGTGCTTGGCCATTGTCAAGCAGCGGTAATGCTCCAGCAATTTCTATACAAGACAGGGCGGTGTAACCCAGTCACTGGATATGAAGAATTATTGCCCTATACCCAACCAATACGCGTGTGTTGTGAGTGCTTGGTCTTCCCCATTGGTTAAATATCACACGAAAGTCAAATACGCATCGCAAAGTCAGAAGTACCTAGATAAAACACGATCGTGGTATTATTTGTTGATCATTCAAAAAAATTAAATTCACTGTAAGAATAGTAATAAATTACTTAATTGCAATAAAAAAGTATACTTATGTTCATGTCGGTAGTCCAATCATAAAGGGGGTAAGTTTCTACTGGGAAACTGTGGTGCTGCGTCGGTGCGAGAGTGTAGCAAGGTAATTTGGTATTATCAACCGAGTCGATAACGTAAATTAGCCACCGTAAAGCTGACATTTCGAGCATTAGCCCTTCGTCAGAGATTTAATTAATCAGTCTAGTAGCCTAGTATCGCGACCGGTAACTATGTCAAGATTGGACGTTGCAGAGTAGTGCACAATAACAAAGGAGCCATTCTGTTCTGTTACAAGGGGAAATGGGCTAGAGGCTGAGGGGAAGGTGAGATGAGTATTTCGTACACCAAACCAAGCACATCCCCTTCTATTCAAAATTTTCCCAACATTTGCTATACGTAGTTCGCTTGCACAAGAAACCTCTTAGTGACCATTTTCTCCGTGATCGATCTTTTACAGAGCATGTAGAAGCAGTTGTTTTATAGAATTGTCACACACGAAGAAGTTGCGTCAAGTCCTCTCCCGATGAAACCATTAATTGTGAAAATCTACATGGGTTCGGGGTTGGGGGGGGGGGGAAGAGGGGCGGCACCTTTACTCCCTCCCCCCCTTCCTTCCTCCCCTACGGATATCGTGTCTGCAACTAAAGAGTTTTTAAGAGCAGCCTATTAAGATGCAAATTGATATTTTGGCGTAAAACGATATATGAATTGCTAGGAATTGCGAAAAGCGGATCACATTTTATACCTCGAAAACACATATTATACCGATCATCCTTGCCAAAGGCTAGAAAACCTGCACAGAACAATGCTTCAAACATAACATCAGTTAACTGAGCAGATATACTTTGCGACAAAAAAATTAAAACGTGCTGATAATTTTGAAGAAAATATTGCTTAATGCCATGAAAATTTTAATGATCCAGCAAATGTGAAGAAATGGCGTATTTGAGTTATGAAAGGGACCTAGGTTTGTCTTTGTTGGAGCAAGAACAAACAAAACAAATGATTTCCAGTTTTTTTGGAAAGATAATTTGGTTTTTTCAACTGAGTTGACAAATAAATATAAACTGGCCACCATATATAGTTTCAAAGATGATGTTTCGAGCGCTAGCGCTTTTCCATGATTCGCTCTGACGAAGGGCGAACGCTCGAAATGTCAGCGTTGAAACTCCTTATGGTGGCAAATTTACGTCATCGACTCAGTTGATAAAACCAAATAATCTTGTTTTACTCTTTCACCGACGCAGCACTACAGTTTCTTTCTTTAAAACGCTGTTTTAATTCTGAATTATTCTTTCAATAGAATACTCTTCAAGTTTCCGTCTTGATTAGTAACTAAAGTAATATTCTCAGCGACCTATGCTTGAGTGTGTACAAGGGGAATCTTATTTGCATTCACTCATCCTCCCGCACGTCTGCGGGTAAGTACAAAAGGCTAGTGACAATATATTTGTCGCATACATTCGGTCTTATTAATGATTTTCCTTCCTACAGTATCTCTCTCTCTCTACAGTTTTCACCCACCAAACCTTCCCTATTTCCTCTCTCCTGCTGTTGACAATGTTCAGCTGTATCCCCACTCTTACTATAAAAGAGTAACTCAGACCGGCTGGCATAAGTAATCACGCAGTAAGCTAAGCCTCGGCTTTTAAGTGCAATATAAAAAGAAAACTTAAGAGCTGATGTAGTTCCAGCAGTCTCAAAGGTTGGTTATTTTTCTTAGTTATAAATATCCGTACTACGTATTTTCTGCCTTTTTAACTTATCAAAAGCAGGTGGTAATGTTGTACGTCAAATTTGGTTGTACAAGGTGTACCACTCATTCTTATTGGCTTATTGGAACTCACAACGAATGTGAGCAGAACAGTCAAAATCTATATAGTCCCTTGACAAAATTACATGCTATTGTTCTTTTGAGGACTTTTAAAATGTTCTCGCCATTAAGGAGGTATTGTGCCAAGTATTGTTAAGTAGAGAACAAATAACATGCGAATCAAGAACAAGTATCACGCCATATTTGAACAATTGGCTATTTTGTATCATAAAAAAACCTGTTCAACTCGTCGGCTGCGGGTGTGACGCTTTTCTATATGTCTTGCTTTTTCCGCCTTATCAGAAATGCGCAGAAAATGAAGCATGAAAAAGCAGTTGGATAATAAATAACTTATTAGAAGTTCCGGTTTGTTGTATCATGGAGTATTTTTACTCGTCGTTTGTATTATATTTTTACTCGTCGTTTGTACTATATTTTTACTCGTCGTTTGTATTATATTTTTACTCGTCGTTTGTATTATATTTTTACTCGTCGTTTGTATTATATTTTGTTTCGCCCTGCAGGCAGTCGTCAAACTACGATACAACCCGTAAAAAAATACTGAGTGATACTACGCCGAAACGTCTAACAAGATTTAGTTATTTTCTGTTTGTCATATACCCTTCAATATAACTTCAAGTCATGTTTATCAGTATGTGTGTAAATGGTATTTACCCAGTTCTGTAAAAGTTATTTTTATAAAAGAGTATTCTTACACCAGAGTCTCATAAACAACTGTAATTCCAGTATAAAACCCCTCGTTATGATCCACCCAAAAATGGCCTTGTAAATATGAGGAAGAAGTTACAAGCTTTCCCTCTCGATCGCATATACGCTGCAATGATCAATACAAAGGTTGCTACGGTTTTTGACATTTTTAATATTGAGTAGCGAAAAATTTGATTGGATAACTCACTTGATTATTTAATTTTGATATTTTGCTGAGCTGGCCAGTTGACAGTCGAAGCTTTCCACGCATGCATCTTTGTGTGTCCTAAGAGCAACTCGCCCAAAACCACTGAACAAGAGCGATGTGTATCTTACGACATTCCATGAAGGTAGGACTTAATTAAGATTTCAAGCATGTGCTTGTCATACTTAAGGGACAGACAGCGAGTCATTTGAAACAATTTTTGAGGTGAAATCCGAAATTGCAAATAGCTCCGTGCTAATGGCCAAACTACGATATGATCATAAGGGGAATTATTAAGATAATCTCTTGATACGATACATCCTTTACAAATGCAACCAAAAATAGCTACATCTTGCGGAAATGAAACAGAAGAAAAGTCCACGAAGCTATAATAGAGACCTTAAGCGGTCAAGACAGCAATACTGAGGAAGACGTCGATTGAAAAAATTGAATTTACATTAGCAGTTAATTTCGTAAGTGGCTGGATGTGTCTACCGTCTCTTACGGTGCCACATCTTAACTTCAACATAATGTCTCTCCGTGAGCAAAGTTAAGTTCCAAATAGAAACTTAAATAATTTGCCATTGGATATTCAGTTCTCGGCAGACCACGCAAAATTTGGTGATTCACCGGTTGTTGCTTTGCATAGGGACGACCAAGAAATGTACAGACGTTAAAAACGCACGTGCTGAGCCACTGTTTTGGCCATCAGATCTTTTGTTTTGCCACGTCCTCGTTGCTGAGGCTGTCGTGATTTGCTCAAGGTCTCTATAGTATATTTACTCAAAGAGGGCCTTCAGCTAAGCACTCGCTGACTCAGACGTTGATAACTTTTCGGAAGAAAAATATGACTCGGTAAAGTCGTCGCAATAGGAAATCGCGGCTTGAAACTCTGCATTCTTCCTTGATGAACTACATATGTAACGTATATGTTTGGAGTGTCTCCATTAGGCGTTGCATTCGAAAGAAATCAAACTTGGCTGCAAAAAAGATCACTATGCTTGTTATTTAAGAGATTTTAAAGTGTTCTTTATGATGCGCTTAAAGCGAGTTAACCACTGTGGCACATAAAACTAAGGAAACACCAGACCACATCGCGATCATTGCTTGGCGGAAGAAATCCGAAAAGGAAGATACGCAAGCAAATATCGACCAAAGCGCGAGTTTCTATTGTATTGCAATACCGATCCATCAACGTTCATGTTTTTTTAGACTTTTTTCAAGGTTGATCCACTGCCAACATTAACTGCACGAGCTAGGGTTTGTGAAATGGTAACACAGAACACTACTTGAATTATTTGTTATTCTCATCGCTTTAGAAGTTTATATCGTACATATAAGAATCAAACTCTCTGATAACAGCAAAGAGGTGGCGTGTTCAACGCCTAATATGCATTCAAGAGCCTACATTTCCGTGCCACCAAATCTTGATTTTCGTAGCTATATGGCATTATATTGCAATATCTATAGTAAAGTTTGAGCATGGCTGTCTCCAGCTTAATATCGCCGGATATTCAGATGTCCGGATTATGCAAACCTCGCAATAAAAAAAGCAACTTTCCCAGCGTTTGTCGCAAGAAGTTAGCGAATGTTCTGCCTTTCCAATACCTCAGCTGCCGATTAGAATGGTAACGTTACATACCTGGTTGCCTGAAATTGGTAAATTCGGGCAAAGTCCCTCGCGAAATTTACTTGCAATCGAATAAACATTACAGATTGAAAACAGAGTGGCTTTCAATGGCCAAAGATAGCACGCTTCTCTCCGCAAGCAATACGCTTGGTGCATTAGCGAGCCAGTAAGGAGCCGAGAAAGACAGGTCTTATCTTTTTCGTTGGCGATACAACTAAAACTCAAGATAAACAGATGAGAGCACCTTTGCCAGTGCCAGAATTTAACCACTTAAGGTTTTCACTGACGCCGAGAGCTCTCTAACCTATCAAATCTCTATCGTGATTGTTATCTTGATAATATTCCAATCATGGGTTCGTTGTTAAAAAAGATACGATGACGTTTAGGCATTTTGTCTGATGTAGCTACCTTGTGCATAAGCACTTTGTTAAGAACTTGTAATGAAGTCTTGGGGAGGGGGGAGGGTGAGGGGTGATATCTCGTGAGGTGAGAGATTGGAACAGGAAAGGGAAGAGAAAAATACAGATCTTAATCATTATTACCAATCAACTGATCGAGCAGCCTTTAGAGCAGGATCAGCAAATAATTGTTTTTTGGGAGGTAACCAATTTTGGACTCATTTGTATCATTCCTTTGATTTCTTTGGCATTTTCTTCAGAAGATGGTGAATTAAAAAAAATATATGTACTGTCTCTGTACATTTTCTTGGATGATTTATATCTAGAAAGCCAAGGCTGTCAGCAGTTACAATCAGTTGACATTAATTATCAGTCATTCACTTCATGCGATTTCCCTTCTCTTGCGGGGTGAAATTTTAGAAGTATATTTTGTTCATTGAGATAAGCTCAACCCTTCCTTCCTAATCTTTTCTTTTTCCACAGGTCCTTCTTCTTATCTGTCAACTGCCCTTGCTCACAATACAGGACGACGACAAGTGCCAAGCGATCACAGTGGCCGAAGCTAAGGACCATCTAAGGCTAAATGGTGGGGGGCCTTTGGGTGCATTTAACAAAAACTACATGGCCTTTACATTAGACGAAGTGAAAAGAAACTTTAAAAACCTGATCACCATGCAGCCAGGAAACTTCTCGGCTTTGGCCACCTGGGCTCCTTTAAGTTTCCCCGCCTCTTTAGGAATAGGAGAATGCATGAAAGATTCAGGAAACTGCGAAGGGTGCGGCGTCGTAACAGACCGCGGCGTGAACTTTTATCCGCGCTACGTAAACGAGGTCAATTGCAATAGCTTAGGCAACGGTTGCGGGCAGAATCGTGGAAAATGCGAAGCAACAGTTATGACGCAGAAGTTCTTCAAAGACCACGGTGCAGGGACCTGCAATAAGGATTTGAAATTGGATTTTTATGACATGAAAATGTGTTGTCAATGTATCTTGCTCTGATGCAATGGCAAGTGAAAACTTGGTCAAGTGACTCTTCCAACCAACCAATCGGGTTTATCGAGTACGAACTTCTGCCATTTTCTTGGCTGCAATCTTTGACAAATTTGTACCGTAAAGTAGGTAATAGAAGTTAGAGTGATTCCGATGGTCGTAGTAAAAAGAAGTTTCCAATCTCTTGCATACAAAATGATTAGTTTTACATGTGTATTGTCTTTTTAACCTGTCCTCTCTCGTCCAGGCAAAGGAAACACGCGGGTGGAAACTAAGTTCGTGTTGAGTTTTATCAGTATCAGTGTAACGTAACAACAGAATGAAAATTACAAACATTAAACGAAATGGTATTTGTTTGTTTGAGTTGATATTAAGTTACTAACGACGGTTTTACTTAGTTATTTGGACAGCAAGAATTTGATAATCATCATTAAAAAGTAAAATGTTATACCTCGCATGAAATACTTCAGTGATTATAACGGCAGGTTTTCATAAGCAATAGACATACCAGGGACGTAGTCCCCGGTGGCAATTGTCAAGCTGGGTGATCTGTTCAGCTCGGTCCCCGGCGCATCTGTGATGGGTCGCCGAAGTGATAAAATTGGCAAAACATGTAAATCGAACGGGTGCAATTTTTTAACCACTCCATCTGTTAATATGGATCGTGTCGTGTTACTAGAGTGCCAGTTTTCGCTTGCGTTTGTGCTGGTGATATGGCGCGAGATAAGAAAGAGGAATATGGAGACGAGAGCTTGTAGAAAGTATTGGGTGCTACTCATGCTTCAAGGACAGACACAGCCAGTATCACGCTTTGTTCGCAGTATTGCGGCGTCGTGACCAGAATAGTTACGGTATTGTGGGAAAAATGGAGTTCTTACGTCAAAGATTTCCTCGTCGGCCACCTCAGATGATGTTCACACAAAATATTTTCATTGCCAACAACTGCCAGCTTGCCTGAAAAGTTGAACTGAGCCTGCGGTCAATTCCCTGAGACCGATTAATTTTCACATTGTCTCGGGCCGTGCTTGCGGCCAGTCCTAGGCACGTTTGCAGCGTACGAGAACCAGGCTTAAATGCAATTCCAGCACGAAGAAATCCCGGTAGATCGAAAAAAATACCATTTATAAAAAGTGCGACTTGAAGCTAAACAAAATTTATAATCGGCTAAAGTTAATGGCAATTACATTTACCTTAGGAAAAAAAATTTATTAAAACGAGTAATTGGACAGAGTTATTAGACTGCCACTGACCTTCATCTGCTTTAAAAAACAATAGCCATAAAAATGACAATTCTCATCACTCGGCAGATCTTTTGAAACTAATTGAGTGCAGTTTTCCGGTCACCTCTTATATGAATCCGGCGTCGCTTTTCAATGCGTATATCAGTAATTTAACCCTTCACCTCCAAGATGCGGGTAGCAAATAACTTGTACTTTCTATTCCAGTATATTGAACAGAAAATACGCGGCGAGGGTAAACGATCTTATCATCAGGAGGGTCCAGCTTTGGTAAGAGATCGTATCATCTAGTATGATCATCGTATGTATCATCTAAATTACAAGAAAACCAAGGGAAAATTATAGGTCCTATAAGTTTTCTCTTGAAAGAAACTGAAAACCACTGCATAGTAGAATAACTTATTGAACTTTCAAATTTAAAAGCAGGTATGGCAAGACTTAATTAAACCTCAGCTACTGATTAATCTACTGCATACAAATGCTGAGAGAACAACACACACAAGCCAACCTCATTTTAAAGAAATATTTAAAAAAATTGATTTATTTTCATTATTTTGGAAATCAAATTAGATTAAGAATTTCCGAGGTCACCCTAACATCCATCAAACTAAAGGCCACTCCGAATATTTGCACTTATTCGAACTGATTACTAAAGACCCTCGTAAACTGAAATGAGATGTAAGACATAATCGATCGCTGTTTGACAAAACATGCTGAAATAACTTATACGTACCCACCACGGAACGTCGTAATTAATGACATTTTTAATTCAAGAGGTTAATGCAAGAACACTACTCAGAGTTGTCAATAGAAAAAAAAAGTTCTACATTGGACGAGCCTCAGAGTACAAAAGGAAATCATTATTGTTCTTTTTTCATATAGGGGAATATCAGTGCTGAACTCCTTGCCATCCGAAATGCGGAGTCTTTCAAAATATGCAATTCTTAAACACAGCTAGAGGAATCACCTTGTAGAAAAGTTTTCTTTGTCGAAAGTAATCCTTTTTTTGAGTTTTCTGCAGCAGCCGACATATTGTTTATAATAGTTTCTACAAATGTAACACACATTACTGTTAAATTATTAATTTTTTTTTTCAATCTTTTAAAACATTGTTCAATGTAATCAGGGCGGAAGATTCCTGATGGGAAGTCCTTATAAAGATATTGTTTCGTTTAATATTGTATTGCTCACACTTTGGTTATAGCTACCGCTTCGAAAATCAAACTACCTTTTCCCTTGTAAGCTGCTGATAACTGACAAAAAGCCGATCTAGGAAGACTGAGAAAGGCGATTTTCCTAAAGAAGATAACACCTGAAGGTATTTCTTATTTTGTTTTGGTAAGCAAAGATGTTTAACCTAAGTTCTTGACATAACGGCTCAAAACTCACATCTCTTAAAATTAGTTCACAATTTCAATTTCATGAAAAATTTTATACATGTAAGGAAAGCGAGTGAATCTTTACTTGTTAAGCACCTTAAAATTACTCAGATATATTCGAACATCAGACCTTCGGATTTCCCGAAAGGGAACTATTTGTTAAGGTAGGACATACATTAAGTTCAAATGTGGCAAGCACTTGGACAACTGCCATGATCTACGATGTCAAAAGCTAAGTGTGTAGAGAAGGATAAAGAAAGGTGTTAAATTTTCAGCTCGCTCGTCTATCTAGGAAAAGTTCAAGTGTTACACACTTGACATCAGCGTGAGAAAGAGCAAAAAACGTAAATCCCCAAGATAAATTTTCCTTTTCATTCATCGTTTTAGATGCTTCCTCGCTCACTTTTGTTTCCTGTTGTGCTTCTGCTTCTCTGGAGGATGATGGACATGATGGAAATGCCCACTGACGAGGTCACATTTATCAAAACTTTACGACATTTTGGAAGATCCCCTGGACCAATGGGATACAGCAACCCAAAGTACATGGCATTTACGGCCACGGAAGCGAGGCGTTTCCCCAACTTGGTGAACTTACACTCAGTGATGAGGAAATTACGAAATGGGCATCTTCCTACCACCTCGACATTTACAACATTAAACGCGACTAAAATGGATGACATAACCGGCGATGGCAACCATCCCAATAAGAGAGGAAAAGGAAGGAACAAAAGTAAATTTGTCAAGAGAAATACTATTTCACTTTCAGACTCACCGTATCCTATCACTACGATCTCCGGCCCTTGCGAAACGACTATTGGAGGGCTTCAAAAGCTCTGTTCGGTTTGTCCGGCTGTGACAGACCTGGGTCCGACCAGGAGCCCGCGATACATCAACGAACTGTTGTGCGGAGGAGATCAATTCTGTGGGATAGAAGGCGTGCAAGGAATTTGCCAAAACACCGTTATCATCCAGGATTTTCTGGTGATCACAGGTGACCAAATGAACGTGTATTCGCAACCCATCCGTGCATGTTGTGATTGCACTATATTTCCGTAACACACTGACTGTAAACAAGGGAGGATGAGAGAAAACCCCTCTCTTGCTGTAAATGGATGGTACATTGACTTGAAATAAAGAATTTTTCACTCTCCCAGTCTTTACTTTGGACTTGAGTATATTAACCCTTTAACTCCCATCAGTGATCAAGACAGAATTTCTCCTTACAATATCAATACAATATCAACCAGATAAGTGATGAGAATAAAGAAGAATACCAATTTGGGGGTAATTAGTTGATCCATTCATTAAGTAAGCATCGGAGCACAAATCCGAAGGTCTAGGGTTCGATTCCTCATGGAGACTCAGAATTTTTTCTTTGTCCCGCGCTCGTGACAAGACAAAAAACATCTTTCTATATTTTTTTACCGAGCTCAAAACTTACCATCTCTATTATTTCTATCTACAAACATTATAAGTATTGTGAGGTTGACAGAAAGGAGAATTTCAAATTTGATCCGCGAGTTAAGGGGTTAAGTAGCTTTTGTCAAAAAATAAACGACGACATAGGCAGGCTGAATGATTTTTATAGTACGTGAGAACCGCGTCAACCCAGAAAAATTGAACACGGAATGTTTACCACATTCATTTTAATCTCTCGTTTAGGGTTCGTTCCTTTGGGAGAATCCGGGTCAGGATTTCTGATCTGTGGCGTTCCTTTCGAGCAAATCCATTTTCAGATTAGTGATCTATCAAATCCACTCTGGACAAGGATTCATCGGATCACTGATCTGCGTGATCTAAAGACGGATAATTGGATCACTGATCTGCGTGATCTAAAGACGGATCATTGGATCACTGATCCAACACGTTCCTTCGGGCGAAGGATCCGAAATTAATCATTTTGCCCAGCGGCGTTCAATTTCCAACTAGTAGGTACTTCATATATTGACCGGAAATATTGTTGGCAATCGCTTCACAAACTCTGCGATAAACACGAAATAAAATCGATTTTGTAATGTTAAATCGATCGGCCACTGATCGCAGGCATTCTGGGTTCCCAAGTATCCATATCGTAATCAATACTTGTTCTGTCCATCGTTTGAGTTCACTATGAAAAAATGTGCTTCTAATGAATAGTGCTAATTAGAAAAATTGTGCGTGCTAAAAGCCCGTGCAGATAGACGAGCCATTCAGGGGAGAGCTCAATAACCCACGTGCATACACAAGTCTTAAAATAGCGCACTTTTTGGAATTCTCTGAGAGCTCGTCTAAAACTCCGTTCCTTTCATGCACCGTGATCTGTTTGATCTTGGATTACAAATCCTAATCCTGATCCTCCCAAAGGAACGCACCTTTAGTTTATTAAAAAAAAAAAAAAAAAAAAGAAGAAGAAGAAGAAGCGGCACACAATGATCAGTGTTCATTACTACCTATGTTTAACTAAGGGTCTCAATGGGGTACTGGCTTTTACGGCTAACCGTTAAAAAAGTTTGGGCATTTTACGGCTACGGTTAAACCGAAAGGACACAAAATGACTCATCTTAGAAAGGAAACATTTTAACGGTTAACTTTTTTTACGACTACTAGTTAAAATTGTCAATTCTTACGCCCAACAGCTGAATGTTTGGCCGCCTTACGGCAAACGCCTCTGAGACCTTCTTAACTGAAAGAACATCATGTTAATTCAGCAGAATTATTATGATGATTATCAAAGACTTGTATAATATTTATCAAGGAAGACCTGTCTAATATCTCTCTCATCGAGAGTAAAATGATAACTGGGAAGTTAAAGCTGATAAATTTAAAAAATGCTGTATCATGAGCATAACTTAAGCTCTTGTTCCTGTCGCAGAATATAATTGAGTTGGGAACTAAGGAAGTCTAAAGTTAAAAGAGAGAGTTTTGTGAAAGCTACTCTTCTAGCGTTTTCACTTGCTTACTATGAAAGTGCACGAATTCACGAAGAAACTGCGCCAGAAACAGAACCTGTAAATGAAGCCCCTGACTTTGTGTTAGACTTCCAAAACGAACCCATGTTAAAAGATCAACTCACGCTTTGCAATGAGCATCATGGGATAGAATGAAACAACCGATGTCGTGGTAGTCATTTAGGTTTTTAAGCAGTTCCTCCGGAACAGAAAGCTGAGTCGAGACCACTGTAACTTGCTGAAACCACGCTGTATCGCCAAATTAAAGCCAGGAAATTCACATTTCCAGAGATGGATTTCTCATAATTTCCGATTCACTACAACTTCCTTCCCTGAAATAAATCAAGGACAGTAAATAGCCGGTTTTTCCCAATTCCAGGCATTTTACACGATGCTTGATAAGTACTTTCACGGTAGGATGATTTTACGACTGGAAAAGTTTGATAACTCGCGTAATGCAAAATACAATGAACACGCTGACGGCTCTTGTTTACGGAATCTTTCCGTAGCATTTGCTGTGTTCGTGGTTCGTTTGCAGACTAGAGCTGTATTTCCTATGATTTCAAGGACATTAACGTCTTTCCTAAATTAAATTTGAGACAATAAATAGCAGTTATTTCATAATGGCGTGTGCTTGACCTAAGGTTAACTATTTACATCTGCAAAGCAGCACTTTCATCGCAATCTAATTTTACGTCTGAAAAATTCTGCAAATTCCTCACATCGACCCGGTAAAAATTTAACATCTGCATAAGAAAGTAAAATACCGCGGCAGACAGAGTCTGGCTTTGAAATCTATTTTAGAACAGAAATCGGAAGGTAGCGAAGTAGTAAAATTTTTTAGACATTTTTTATCTGAAATGTGGTCAAGATCTGTGACTGTGAACCGCACGGAAGTTATAGAAACATTTTACTGACTAGGCTAACTTGAAATAACTTTTCCTTGCAAAATATAAGTTGTATGTCTATAGAAGATTTGGGGAACTGAATGGTCGAAAACTTAAACATCTGGTCAGGACAAGAATAGGCGAGAGTCCCATAAAAAACTATCTGTAAAGTAATTTTTAGATAACTTCAATATGCCCAGGCAATGTGATTTAAGATATAATTCCGGTTTACATAACTTCCGCATGTGTCAGGATTATATAACCGCCCGGTCTAAGGCGCTTAGCAGCAGTAAAGCGGCCACAATCAAGAAATTTGTCTCACAACCAGCTGCAGAGGAGCACACAGAGATCGAGGTAAGCCTTGTAATGCTACTATTAAATTTTCTTTAAGAAAAATGATGAATATTTTTTTATTAGTGCTGTGCAAAGGAGCTTCCAAGTCCATTTGAGAATTCGAAACCTAATGATGTCCGGAGCTCGTTTCTTGGTTTGTCCGTTAACCAAGAGCACGAGTAAAAGCACAGAAATCTTTTGTTAAGTTTTTCAAATTTTTACGATTTTTCTCCTGTTTCGTGTCGAGACTCAAGCTGTTATAGTTTTCACAGTAAAGTTCTGTGTTTGATTTCGTAACCAGGTATAAGTCTTTTAAAATGATTTCAATTTTTCATGGGACAGAAAAAGGCACGAAAAATCTATGTGCTTAAAATCAGCTGACTGTATATCCCAATTCAGCGCCCTAAACGCTTTTATTTCAGATGGAAAAGCGATAAAAAGGAATTACAGAAGAAGAAATTTCGTGTTTTCTAATCAAAGCTTGGACTCCGAGTAAAATAAAGAAAAAATCTTACGACTTCGCACGCTTGAATAGGTACAACAAAAAAGCATCACGTTAAATAAGTAGAGTTCTTTACGTTATAACGGCGAATGCAGCATTCATTGTGACAATATGTTGAGTTTCATTCATATAAGCTGATTTTTTTGGCTTGTTGCCAAGTGTTTTATGAAGCAAATACCGAAGAGCTTTGGACAAGAAAATGTCAAATTCCAATTTTGTGTAACTCTCACAGTAGCAATCGGTTTGTTCGAGGCAACACCAGTTGTAAGGATGAAAATCGTAGTTTGGATCTAGCTTAAAATAGGAAAATTACGTTCTCTTGAAATTCACATCATTACGAGCCCGTATAAGTATCGCGCTAATATTTGCAATCAGCGCTTAAAACAGAAACTAACCTGCTCCTAAGCAAACAAACGTTATCGATATACCTGTAGGTAACATAACTGAGTACGTCGAAAGCTTACAAATTGGTCCTAATTAGCTCTCTTTCAACGTTCTTACATAATGCAATGATGTTTGGAGACTGCGTAAATGTGCTGCAGTTGCATGTCTGAGGCGATCGGGATCAAGGTACGATTTACAATTTACCTCGACTAGTGAAAACCAAGCCCTTTCAAGTTTCAAGTCCCTAAGAGTCGTCCCGTGAGAATTTCCTCAAGGCTAATTTCTGCTCTGGTCAAGTTCCTCTTCTAAGTCGAGCAAAACTCGTCCGCTCCAAACAAGACATGAGTTCCATCCCATCTAGGGTACAGAACGACGGGTCCCGTGGTCATACCGTTGAAAATCCTTTCTCACAATGTTCGAGGTTTTCAGGAATTTCCTTCTTTATAAGTTTTTTACTCAAAACTATATTTAAAAGAGTAACCATGATTCGTATTCTTCAGAATGATTCATATCAATGTTCTGTCTCTAAACGCACTGTTGTTTCGGGGAGCAAAACAGCACTGATCGGCGTGCATGAAATTCAATTCGCCAGAAAAAAAAAAAAAACTGGATTGTCGGAAAAATGTTTATTGGATGGCAAACGTTCAAAAATGTTGGGTTACGACTTAGAACATTAATCAAAGACTAACGAAGCACGTTCCATATACGTTTTCTCGGCACTGAGACACTGAAGAGGACTCCTAAAGCTAGGTAAAGAGTCTCGGGTCAAAAAAAGAGAGTGAAGTGCCATCAGGTACGAAATACGCTGATCTCTCCTATTTATTTTCATCACGTTTTAGACTTCATTAGAAGAAAAAGCGCACTAAGCACACCATGTTTCTAACTCCCCACAAAACGCTGTATACAAGCGTGATTTAAGCAGAATATGTTTGAGGCCGCTCGGCATACAGGGATCTAAGGCCCGGAGCCTAACTTTTTGACGAGTTCTGTGCAGCTCAGAGTATCCGATGGCAAAATTGAAAGGAACGAGGTTTCACCGATCCTGACACGTTCATGTTGCACGCTCCTGAGAAATTGCTCAAGCGGAGGTGAAATTTTATTAATAAGATAAAATAGAAGTTTTTTTCGCCCAACCTTTTCGTTTTAAATATTTTTTAGGGTTTAACAATACCGCAGTATAATTTGTATGTTACTGATAGGGTAATGCTGCAATTAAGAGAATGCATTATTTTGTCTTCACAGAAAAGATGTTAAAAATACTGATTTCAGCGGTGGCAACAACCAGTGTCTTTCTAAGCTGTATCGAAGCGCGTCCACTAAATTCCACGTCAACCGCTAACATAACAAGCCCCCAAAGAGGCATCATATCAACAGCATGTACACCGAGGACAACCAGAGAACTAGAGATACAACTGCAAACCCACGGTAGCTTCAACAAGCGCTATCAAGCAATCACGAGAGACGCCGCAGCAAAATTTCCCAACCTACTGAATCAAACTGCACCCAACACCACAACAACGTCACGCCCGACAAGTCCCTTTCCTATGACGAACCTCACGAGCGTTAGGACCAAGGGCTCAACCGATCAAAATGGCCATCGCCGTCTATGCACCGAGTGGTCAGCGGTCACAGTGTTATCACCGGCTTATTTCCCGCGCTACTTGAACGAGATCATCTGCGACACAAACGACAGAAGTTGCCTCAGTCAGAAGGGCCAGTGTAACCAAGGAGGCGTGATAGTGGATATCTTGTACGACACTGGAAAGTGTGGATCCGATGGAAAACAGATCTGGCAAGTTGTAAACCAGTGGATTCGATCTTGTTGTGATTGCATGTCCTTAATTTGACCTTGGTGAAGGCAATTATCGCTTCAGGAACAGCTGTCCAAAGTAATCCCAGATTAACTAGCATTTGCTTCATTCTGCCCTATAATAGGTCTAAGAAACCAATGCCGTATTCTTAACTCGCAAATCTACGTTTTCCGAGCCTGAAGTTATCCATAAGTATTCAGTTAATACCTTCAGCTATCCTTGGAATTTTCGGGATGTCGACCTTATTCATAATCGGTAGTGTTTCTACTATTGCGACATTCAACCAAAAAAAAACGCCCTAGTTCTAACCAACCGCCTAACATTCAATAGATTGAGTCTTCATTTCACTTACAAGCTCGAAAGATTTAGTTTTGGAGTTGGCTTTTACACATCAGAGATATCTCTAGTTCCACAGTTATTTTTGCTTCGATTTGCCAGTGTTTTTTGAATATTTTAGGGTAACCTTAGCGTCAAGATTTCTCAGCTAAAATGACATTTATGATTCCAATGTTTTTGTATTTTCTTTCTCAGCTAAAAAGACACTTATGATTCAATGTTTTTGTAATTTTTTTAGAATGAATTGATCAATGTAAATGTTCGGAAAACAACTGAAGTTAGCTCGTCTCTCATTTCTTCACAGAGAGTGAAAGTGCTGTCGAAATGATACTCGAAACATTGCATAACTTCGCAATTTTTTTCATTTTTCAAGCTATCAGTGTCTTAAGAACAAAAATCTTAAGTTTCCCGCAAAATGTTTACTTGTTATGTGATTAGGGTGTCTAAAGTATTTTTATGAATGCGATAAAAAGATTAAGGTGATAATGCGTCAATTAAACTTCTGCTTTCTTGATAGTCAATCTCCTTGCTGTTAAGTTAATTCAGAGTCCAATTGCTCAAAAGGCTAATAATGTTATCAATCGGAAAAATCCGTATGCAGCGGATAAGTTTTGACAAAACGCGTTGCGCTATCCATAGGATAAAGATTTACTTAGTGGATAGCGATTTCCATCCTTTGAACAACCTGACCTAACCAATCAGTAATATGATAAATATTATTTAAAACAGAAAGATACGAATATTTTCTACCGAAATCATCAAAAAACACGAGGTGAAACAATTACGTGATGGTTTACACTGAAGTATTTCCTCCTGCTTTAAAGTCAGATTAATTTCAGACTTCTTGGAGTTTTTTCTTTTGACCTGGTTTCTTATCTCTTAAATATTTCTAGATATTTTTAGCCAAATACCAGTCTGTGTTCACTTAACCTTCTGCGGTCTGGCGTATTTTAAGCACAGAAAAAAAAACGAACAAAAATTAAGTCTGCCCTCGAGCCGAGTAGCCCCGCCGGCACCGTCCAGCCGGGTACAAAGGGGAACTGGGTATGAAGAGAACTGCGAATGAGGGGGGGTCATTTGGATACTACAGATAAATATTATTATTATAATTACTAATATTATTGTTTTCTTGTTTTTTGTTTTTTGTTTTGTTTTGTTTTTTTTTTGAGGGGGGAGGGGGGAACGGCAGGTAAATTATAGTGTAACACAACCAAAATCCTCCGCCCAGTCCCCTATGCGCTCCTTAGTAGACCTGAGTTTAAATTTTGGGATTTTTTCGTGCTGAGACACAAATCAAAGACGGTTCTAGCATTAAAAAAGATACTTCACCAATAAATTCCTTGACATCGTCAAAGAAGTAGGCACTAACACTGAACAAACAGAGAATTTCTTCTTTGTCCCACGCTCGTAACAAGACAAAAAACATTTTTCTATATTTCTTTACCGAGCTCAAAACTTACCATCTCTCTTATTTCTATCTTTAAACATTACGCTATTGACATTACTGATCCTAACAGTTTGCAGGACGCGTGTCATATGAAGTTGGTCATAGACCGGAGACCTCGCTTACCGTTGAGTCTCTGTGGCTCAGTGGAAGAGCATCGGAGCGCGGAATCCGAAAGTCTGAGGATCGATTCCTAATGGGGACTCAGAATTTTTCTTTGTCCCACGCTCGTGACAAGATGAAAAACATCTTTCTTTAAAACAGAGGATTGTTCCCTATCCTTTGCTCAAAGTCCGATCCAAAGTTTAAATAATAATCCCGACCCAGGTTCCCAACGGACAGAGATAAAATAAGAACTCTGTGACTCTTCCAGCTGATTGATTCAATTTCAATTTGCCTAACGAACAACAGCGTTTACGTTCGCGTGTAGAGTAAAATTCGCCTGTTCAAGTGATGAGACTCGTTCCTTGACTGTGGTCATCAGATTCTTCGTTACTTTCCGCGTGGATCTTGATTTCTTGCCACCATGGATTCGGATTTGCTTGTGGACTTACAACTTCAGTATGATTATTTATTCAAAGTTCTGATGATCGGCGATTCTGGCGTGGGAAAATCGTGTCTTCTTCTTCGTTATGTTGATTTCGCCCACAGAGAGGCATACCTTAACACAATTGGAGTAGATTTTAAAATAAAAACCATCAAGCTTAATGGGAAAAGAATTCGTCTTCAAGTTTGGGACACTGGTAAGTGGATATTGCGTATGGCGGTGAAATTTTATACGGTAGAATACATAACTGACAATTTTTTTCCCAACTTTTAAATCCAAGGGTAAATATGTACCTGAAATTTCCTCTAGGGCTTCGTTTCAACATGATGTCTTTGTTTCGCTGTGTTTGTTCTCTTGAAAAATTAATGGCTTCCGAGTTGTTGCTTGAAATTCAAGAACATTGCTTGTTGTTAACGATCGACAGTCAGCCCTTTTATCTTTCACTGTACAAGATTGCGGGAGAAAATCTACCAGCGCTTTTAAACTACTTTAAGAAGCACGCCAATTTTCAGCATCCTTCGAACAAAACTGTTTGCATTTTTAATAGCAATTCTGTGGCACCCTGAAGATGTTGTTAAAAGAACTGACGTACAGATTTGTTGTTTGCGTTTTTCTTTTCGTAAACCGAAAGTAAATTGATTAAAAGATCACGTTGCGAGCTTAAGAAAAACAATGCTGATCGGTCAAATTCTATGAGAATTATTTAATTTTGCACACATTACGTATTCACGGTACGAAATTTACAGATTGCTGGTGTTGATAAACACAGGAAACTGTATTGTGCGCGAGTGTTTGACTTCCTTGTAAACAAAAGATTTCCTGAAGAGTAAACTAGAAGCCATGAATATTTCTAGACCTCGATCAATTTGCGCGAAGGGTAAACAACACCGAAATATTCGATCTTCATTATCCGTTGAAATCTGCGCTCCGTCACTGTGCCAATTAGTGGGAAAATGTAAATTCGTACGTACTCTTGGTATTAACAACGATAAATTTATTATTTTTTGTACCGTCGCTCTAATCCCTAAATGAGAAAGAAAGCAAATTGATTGATTGCATTTGGAAGAAAAAAAAGGATAATCTACAAAAAATGTCGGATTTATAGTGGAAAAACGAAGGGTGATTCAATTCCTCTACGTTCGGAATCGAACCCAGAAAAATATTTTGCATGTTTTCTCATGCATATGAAACTACGATAACAGTTGTCAGAAATGTGATTCACAGACAGGCTGGCATATATCAAAAGTTATATTGTGAATATTTGGTCTTAGTAAAAATCAGACAGGACATTTGTAAGAAGTCTGGATAGAACTGGGGAAATCTTAGTTCAAGTATGAACAGAAAATTGAGATCGTTAAGACGAGGCACCGGCAGAAATAAGCCATTTGGGCTTTTACGTGCAATCAAATGTGATATTTTCTCGTCATCTGATGGATCATCGGGGACAATGTGCGTCAATGGATGGTAAATATTAGTGAATAATAAGCAGTTCTTGAACAATTATGCATAAGAGGACACTAGGCTATCAACTTACAAAAGGAAATTTATGGCACTTAAAGGATTGTTTCTAAAACATTTTGGCTGTGTGGGAGTTTGTTGGTGTCCTTAAATGACAGGAAAATTTGTCATTCTGGTGAAGGCTACGTCTTGGCTATTTGTCTAAAAATGAAGCAAGGTCAGGTGTTTCTTTTGATTTTGGTACAATGCCACAGTGGTTTTTAGTAAGTATAGAAATTGTCATGGCAATTTGCACATTGATCGCAATAATTTGAGGATTTTTAAAATGGATTGGGCCTTGAGGTTAAAGCAAGACTTTCAGTCTACATAAATCAAGGTAAAACCTGCAAAATTCAAGTTCAAAATTCTTAAACTGTTCTTGCTACCCAAGACCCTGTGTTACTCTAAAGAAAACAAATCATAAATATACATGGGCACAGTAGTTCCATGTTTCAAAGTGACAAATGGATTCTATCTTACCATGTGTTGAATCAGTTATAGATCAAAATGCAGGTAGGACTAAAAAGTGGCGCACAAGGAGCAGCTGAGTGTATCACTGATGTTCTCATCACATTTTGACCTCAACTGTGATCTATTGCTGTACAGACTGATAACAACATGGAATCTATTCATATTTCTTTAAAAAAAGAGCTGAAGATGTTAATGGTGATGTTATCTGTGTGTCTGTCCTCCAAAAGATCATTATTTAGAACTAATCAAAGTGTTTGAATAAATGAGCTTATTGTGCAATCTTATTCCACCAACATTTCAAATTTTTGGTTTGGATACTTAAAATTTTGTTAACACATAAGAAAAAAAACACAAAATTGAACCAATAATTCAGAAGTTTTGTCTTGATATTTAATTGGGAGTCAGTATTCTGATGTTTTATACAACTGCACAAAGTGGAGAGCAAATAATGTGTGAATCGAGTACAAATCTTCTCTGCTATCGTACAGTTCGTTATTTTTGTACTGTAAAAAAAAAAAATCTGTTTAACTAGTTTGCTACATCTGCCATGTTTCTCTAACCCCTTTGCTTTTCTGGCCTTCTGAGAAATGAGCAGAAACACTTAGCAGCAGTTAGATAATAAATAACTTATTAAACATTTTGATGTGTGAAATTGCTTAGTAATTTTACTCATTGAAAGAATTTTGGCTCGCCCTGCAGATTCAACAAAAGTAGGCACAACTCATGAAAATCCTCAGCGATGCTACACACCAGAAACATCTAATAATATATATTTATTTTGTTGCAGCTGGCCAAGAAAGATTTAAAACAATAACATCCTCATACTACAGAGGAGCGCATGGGGTTATGATAGTCTATGATATTGCAAGAAAAGAAACTTTCTCTAACCTCAATAAATGGCTGAATGAGGTAGAAACATATGCCAATCAAGGAGTCTTGATGATTTTGGTCGGCAACAAGACAGACCTTAATTCACATCGTCAAGTTTCCACCGAAAGTGGTGCAGAGTGGGCAGCTCGTAATGACATGCCTTTCATAGAGACAAGTGCTAAAGATTCTTTTAATGTCACCGAGGCTTTCACAATGCTTGCTGAGCTGGTAAATAAACATGTTAAAGACACTCAGACAGAGCAAAGAGCATTTGTGTTGGGGGATAATCTTGATCGTGGAATTCGAGCAGGAGATGGAAATGAGAAGGAAAAGTGTGGCTGTAGTAACTAGATTCTTAACCCTTTAATTCCCAAGATCTCCTTAGTAATTCTCCCTACTGTCTCCCATACAGTTCTTGTGATATTAGTTTAGAGAATTTGGTATTGGATCAACTTGTAGTCCCCTAATTGATATTTCTCTTTATTCTAATCAGTTGTCTGCTTGAGATTGTATGGATATTGTAGGAGGACATTCTTTCTTGGTCACTCCTAGGAGTTGAAGGGTTAAATATTTGTAGTTATTGTCCATTAAAATACTGTTTTGGTGACGGCAGCCATGAACAACAGATTTAACAGCATACATCAGGGATAGACAAGGCTGTTCTTGGTCTAGGTAATTAAAATGTATGAGCAGATGGCTTGCATGTTAAAGAAAATTTTCCAGAGAAGCAAATATAGAAGCCTATAATGAAAGTTGGGACAGTTTGCAGAAATCTGACATTAATTCATTCCTTTATTCTTTATGTTGAGTACTGTAAACTATCTACTAAGATGTCTTATACTCCTTCCTTCCAAAACGGTTTTTTTAGAGATGCCTTTAACAATTTGTTTGAAATTCATAAAACAAAGTCCTTGAAAATTACACTGAAATACAAAGCCAAGCTAACTGGAGAGTAATGCAGTTCAAAGAACCTTCTTTTTTCCTCAGTAGAATATCCAATATTCTACAGTAATTTATCGCTGTTCATGTTCAAGTCATTATTTTAGAGTTTGGATTAGTTTTTAAACCACAAGGTTAAATGTTGTATAATTTAAAATATTTTCAAGGTACAGTACCTAGTAATTGATTATCCTTGTCTTAGAGATCTTCTTAAAATACTTCTCTCGTGTAAGTGATTGAAATTGATGGATTTTTGGCAGTAAAAGCAATATGATATGAGAGCTCTGTTGATTAATGCCTGGGAAAGATTGGCTGTAAGACAGTTGACGTGTCACAATTCGTAATAATAGCTTGACTCTAGAACTGAAAGTGACTTCACATCTTGAGAGAAGATAATTAGATTCATGTTCATTTATTATAATTATAACCACATTAAATAAAGGCATCTGTTGTCTTTTTTGCTACAGCTGTATTTCCTAGGGTTTAATTTGGTGGAAAAAATCCTCAACCTGACACAATAAGAATATTTTTTTTCACTTTGCCATAAAGTGGAGCAAAAAATACAGCAAGGACAGGATCAAATTTAAATTTTGTATATTTAGTGAGTCTACATTCTAAAATTGCAAAATAATTATAGGTATTCTATTCATGTATTCCAAGTGACATTAATGGATTCATCAGATAAAACTAACTTTTAATTTGTAAACAAAATCATTTTTCAGTCTTTTCCCAAAATCATGACCACAGGAAACAAAGTTGTCGCAAAAGTAGAATTTATTAGTTTATTTCAGTCTATTAAAGAGTTTTAATAGATAAAAGGGAATGAATTATTAATAAATTTTACATATGTTTGTTATAATATGTTTCTGATGCAAGTTTGATAATAGGAAATGAATCATTAAATTTAAAATTTGTTTGTTATGTTATGTTACCCTAGCCTCTTAAATTCAAGATCTCATGTAAATTCCCCTCACTGTAAGTCAAACATCTCTGGGACTTAAATTTTTAAGAATTTGGTACCTAATCAAACAATATTGTCACCTGCTTGAAAAAGTGATGATATTGTAAAACGAAGTTCATTTTTAGTCACTTCTAGTGGTTAAAGTTTAAATGAGGTAGACTTAAAAATACATAGGGTAAAATTTCCGCACAGCCCCGTACTATTGTAAAACAAATCTGTTTTTCCAAAGGCTATGTATTGCTTTTGTCATTGTTTTCTCTATCCAAGAACTGAACGCATAATGTAGTATGGGGCTGTGCGGAAATTTTACCGAGAAAAGCAACAGAAATGACAGATTACCTCGGGGACAAAAGCGTTTTCAAAGAACAGTGCAGAGTAATATGGAAATCTTCCTGAAGTTTGAAAGAGCAGAAAGATTTCTCTCGTTCTTTAATCATAAATTGAGAAAACTGTCCATATCAACCACAATTAATTTCTGTACTTACAAATTAATTCCCATTAAGCCGTTATCGTCATCTTGCGTTTCAAAATGGACACCGCGTGACCTGGAACGAGCTTCTCTATCCGGGCTTTCTGCCTAAATCCTCGTGCACTATGGGAAAAAATATGGCGGCTGATGATTTGCTTTTTCATTAAGAATTAACTTGTGAATTTTGAGCTACTTCATTGCAGATTTTCTCTGTGATCCGAGTCTAACTGACTTTTAAAGTACAGGTGAGTTCTCAGTTCTCATCTGCACGCGTAATAGCGACGATGAAAATACTGAAGAACAGCAGGAAATTTGTGGAGCACGCATTGTCCACATAAATTTTAGTTGTTTTACATTGTAAATCAAGCTTGAGTCAGGTATATCTAGATTCTACATAGTTAAAGGTGTATTTAATGGTTGCGGTTGCAAAGAAATTAGAAATTCATGCCATGTGTTTTTAACTGTTGTCAAAACATGCGTGATGCAGATGAATGGGAAAACTTCATTCAATTTTGGCAATATGTTCACTTGAATGTATCTCTTAGACTCACAGTGCTGTATATCCATGAGGTAAGTAACTGCCAGTGGAGTGACATTTCCATTTATCAGGAATCTTAAAATCCAATTGTTGTTTCTCCCCCCCCTAGCTACAACACATTTTGTTGTAAACCAATTTAATATGGTAATTTTGTTTTAGATCATAAGTTTGCTCAGTCTCATAACCTGTTTGCTAGATGATATATGGGTAATATTGGAAGAAGTTAAATGTTGATCATTTCTGGGATTTAAGGGGTCAAGCAGAGTCATGAGTTTTTACAGAATTAGATGTGCATGTTTAAATTGGTGGTAGACTGAAATCCTGAGTTACTTAGTGTGATCTTTAACTCCCCTTCCCTTCCCCCCTTAAAAAAACCACTCTAATTGAATTTTCAGCTGTGGTCTCCTGGTTTTTGTACTCTTACTTTGTAGGATTAAAAAGATTTGGCTAAACAACTTTCAGGTCACATATATTTAAATTTTTAATTAAACACTTTTTGTTTCATTTTAGATCAGCCATGAGGCACAGTATGCCCCCTCCTTTGATGGCCCAGAGGGCTGTCCCACCAAATGTGAGAGGGCCCCCACCTCGTGGACCCACAGGGCAAGGTCCCAGAGGGTCTTTATTGGGTCAACCACCTGGAGGTTTTATGAGGGGACCGTTTGATCCAAGGAATATGATGAACAATACAAGACCGCCTTTTGGAGGACCTCTGGGCAATGCTCCCATGTTGCCAAATATGCAGGTTTTTCTTTTTATCACTTCATCCTAAGCTCATTTTTTTGCACTGGTTATTCCAACTCAATCAAATGAAATAACCAATATTAATTAACAGTAATTATAATGATAACATACATGTATTATTTATTTCATTTAAAAGTGATCAGAAACCCTTTAGAATTTGTCATGCTCCCAACTTGTGGCTTCATTCAAAGCTTAGTTGGTGATAGTACCCAACTACTATCTTGCAGGCATGGGTATGAATCACATCAAAGCCTGAATTTTTTCAGCTTCCTTTGTCTGTAAATTGTACCAGTTAAAGCTCACCTACAAGAAACATTTCTTTGCTTAACCCTTTACCCCCCCTATAAGAGACTGGCATCCTATTTCTCCTCACAATATCACCCTTGAATCAAACATTGAGGTCACGAGAATCGAGGAAATGATCATCAACTGCAGCAGATCTTGATTATTAAACAAATTCTCTTTGTCAGCACCTTGGGAAATGTATAGAGAACAGTATGGAGAGTATGGATACTGATGTTAAGGGTAAAAGGTTAATCACGGAGTTAAAATATAAGTAATTAACATGAGACAGACAGGGAAGGGTTCAGAGGGTTAAATTTAGCCCTTGAATTATACAAAAGAACTCTAATGTAAGGAGACTGAGAGATAATGTTGCACTGTTGGAGCAGCATCACTGTGTTTGACGTGGTGTGATTTGTTGGTTTCATTTACCTTGATGTCTGAAAATTTGTCTTGTGATCAATAATTTTAGTCAAGGCCCATGATGCCAAATCAAATGCCACCAATGATGCCAAATCAGCAGCAAATGCCGATGCAGATGGCTCAGCAGCAGCAGCTATCTCAAGGCAAAGATCCACCTATGATTGATACCAATGGTGACATGTGGTTAGAACACAAGACTTCAGAAGGAAAAGTGTATTATTACAATGCAAGAACCAGGGAGTCTGCTTGGGAGAAACCCAAAAACCTTGTTACTCCACCTGCGCAAAATCAACAGCCTGCCCAATCTGGACAGCAGACATTGCAGCCAGTTCAAGTAAGTTACCTCTGTTGATTAAAAGTCATGATTACCCTTCTCTAAGTTTCAATTGCCTGTTTGTCGTGTCTTCTGCCTGTATTCAATGTCACTTTAATCTCAAGATCAAATTGGTTATTATCCTTACTGACTCCTGTACATATCATCATTTATTAGATAAGAAAATTTGGTTTTTCATCGGGATCAAATCCTCCAACTGATAAGTTTGTCTGCCATCTTATGCTGACTGCAAGAACATATTTTGAAATTGTAAGAAGATATTACATATCAACTACTTGTGGAAGTTAAATGGTTAGCTGAATTGATTTAGAAAGGATATACAATTCTTAGGTTGTAGGTCTTTTGAGTTGGTATTACACCAGTCCATGCAGATGATAAAGGGTGATGTGCTTTTGATTTGCCTTTAACTACACTTATCTGTGAAGTTTGTTTTATTAACTTTCATTGACCTTCCCAACTTTAGGGACAAAACATTCCTCCTGAAGGGCAACAGCAACAAACACCAGCTGCAGAGCCAGAAGCAAAGCCAGGAGATACAGTTAATACGCAGCAGAATCAACAACAAGTGGGAACTCAGAATGGTGCACAGCAGGTAGCAGGCAGCACTAATGTAACAGCAGATAAACTACCACCACAAAAGTAAGTAGACATGTACAAGTGTATGCAATGCCTCCATACTGTTCTCTATACATATCCTAAGGTGCTGACGAGGCAAATTTGTTTAATAACCAAGAGCTCCATAAAATTGGTGATCATTTCTGTTATTCTCATGTCTTTAATGTATGATATGAGGGTGATGTTTTAAGGAGAAATTAGATGCTATCATTGCAAGGGGTCAAATGGTTAAAAGTAATAACAAGAACATCCTCTGCAATGTACAAAATAAATGTTATTAAAAAACTCTTTGTTTTTTGTGGCTATAATTCGAGAATTATAGATCAAGTTTTCAGTAGAAATTGTTGAGTTTTAATACTGAACAACAGGTGGTGATAGTGTATATGAAGTTGTAACTGGTTCTTCTTATGCATCAGTGTCATAGTGTTATGTCATGAAGTTTGTTCCACAGCCATACTCTCAAGTATTTGAACACTGATTACTATCTGTGTGAAATATGTGAATCAGCTTGCGTACATTGTGAAAGCTTTCGTTTTTTTTTCAGTGTCCAATAAGAAGGTCTAGTTTGAACTCCAAATTCTTGTCCCAAGTTTTTTTGCCTGGCATTTAGGAAATACTAAATGTGTGACATGTTTGATTCTTAGAGGTTTAACTTCCTTCTTGTGACGTTATTTTGTTAACAGCAATCCTGGTATGCCATCACCTGGTCCTTTCCCATCAAGTATGCCACCTCCGCGACTGCCTCCCCCAGGAATGATTCCAGGTATGATGCCACCACGCCTTCCGCCAACAGGTATGCCTCCCCCAGGTATGCCTCCTCCAGGGCTGCCCATGCCACCAATGGGAATGCCACTGCCTCCTAGGAGTGATTGGTCTGAGCATCGTGCAGGAGATGGAAGGGTGTACTACTATAACTCCAAGACTCTACAGTCTACCTGGGAGAGACCAAAGGAAATGGACCAGCCACTACCTCCAATGCCAGGGATGCTTCCACCAGGTAACTGAGTATATATATATTAAGTACAATATTTCAAAACATTTGACCAGATCCCTTTCAGGTGTAGCTGACCACTTGAAGCCTTAAGGTTTTGATCCTACAAGTTGGGTCTGTATCACAGCTCTGAGAGACATTGTTCAAAGTCTGTTTTATTTGACATATAATGACTGGTAAAATAAATGAAAAAAGAAATGAAATGGTTCTTAGATGTAGAGGGGGGGGGGGGGGCAAAAGGTACAGTATATACCTCTGGGTGTTAATGAGGGTAAGTTTCAAAAGAAACTGACTGGTACTGCATCAGTGGGGGATGGTACAGGATAATTTGGTGTTGTCCACTGAATTGATAATGTAAGTTGGTTACTCTAAAGAATTCTAAAGCTGACATTGCAAGTGTTAGCCCTATGTGAGAGCAAATGGAGGAATTATGGAACGAAACCATGGGGATTAAGAGTGCTAATTTGAAAGATAAATTTTTGTTCTTAAATGCATGTTAACTAGATTAAGGATATAGATCACTTTGTTCTTCTTGAAATGAAGGGTTTTTCAGTCATTGACAAAGGTCTACACCTGTAAACGTACTTGCAAAAGTGAGAGGCTCTCAGTCATTTGAATGTTTGAAGTATGCTACATCCTTTATGCTCTAATATCAGTATGTTGCTCTCTTCACAGTTTCTTTGGTACTAACAAGGATATTTTTTTAACATTCAAGAGAGCTTCTTTAGTTGGCAAACATTTTCCTTATTCTTAAGACTGTAAAGTTTGATTCAGTTTTGATGTTGTAATGAAATTACTTTTCGTCATGTCTAGGTATGCCTCCCCCAGGAATGATCCCGCCTGGAATTTTTCCTGGGCTTATTCGACCAGGGATCCAACAAAAGCCTCCCCCTGTAGGAGGTACAGGAGTCATGTCAGATTCATCCTCTCAGGGTAATGCTGGGGATAAGGAAAAGTCCAAGGAAGGTGAAGCAAATGAGGAAAACAATGAAGAGAGCAAGACAGTGAAAGGTACCTCAATTAAAATCTTTTCCATTTTCATTTAAGTCTTGAGGCCTTACTGCTAGATAGCAAAATTGTACATGTGCTATTGAAGCAAATATCCAAGTTTCCACAGCACAAAGAAACAAGGTGTATTACTGCTCCTCCCTTGGATGGGATGTAAGTCTGTTACAGGTTAACCTACCTGCTGCATTTCATGTAGTCTTTCCAACAGATTGCTCATACTCATTTATTTTGAAATTCCTAGGTACATTTCTTGTAGTTATGACATGCAACTATCAGTAAATGCTGCAATTTGATTTCTGCTCTTTTTTTTTTGTGGAGGTACCCCCCCCTTCTTTCCTATTCAAGATCTTAAAAAGACTGTTGACATGAGACTTAGTTCAGTAGTGGGGAGGCAGGAAGGGGGTTGCAGAGTGAGAACGCATGGAGTGATTATTTACTTGTGCAAATGTTAATGTACTCCACAGGTTTTAGTTAGGATTATACCCAGGCAGCCATGCTTCTAACATTATGCATAACTTGTCTATGAATTGGATTTATTGAGCATTTCTATATTGTTCCATCAAAAAGATGAAGAAAAAGAAAATGATGAAGCTAAGAAGGATGAAGGCCAGGAAGATGATGGTGACAAGAGCAAACCTGTCGCCAGTCAACTAATTCCAGGAACAAGCTGGTGTGTGGTATGGACTGGAGATGAAAAGATGTTCTTTTTCAATCCTACAACGCGACTGTCCATATGGGAGAAACCAGAAGAGCTGGAGGATAATGATAAAGTTGATGATATTGTCAGCAAGGGACCTCCTAAAAGGCAACCGTCAACTGAATTAAGTATGGGATACTACAAAACATTTTACTGACATTTCATTTTAATTTTCATCAATTTAAAATTTGATATTGAGTGTTTGTGTTTTGATTTGCTCACAATTAGAGAGAGAGAACAAGACTCCAACAGATGAAGATACAGATGAAGTCCCTCCGGCCAAAAAACAAAGGTTCACAAATTCTCTTCTTTAAAAGAATCTTTAAGAGCAGATTATCTAAATAGTTTAAACCAATGACATGTTACGTTAATAAGAGGTTCCATTTTACACAGTGAATAGAAATGATAATGCTTTCAAGACACTTAACACCCTAACATCATTATGTATTTTCTCTGTACCCATCTCCCTACATTTTGTACAGTGCTGACAAGGAGAATTTGTTTAACAATCCAACCTCCTTTTGGTGATCATTTTCTTTATTCTCATGACCTTACTGGGCAGTCTAGGGGTGATATTTTTAGGGAGAAATTATATGCTACTGTAGTCACTCTTAGGGCTCTAAGGGATAAGAAAATCAGACAAATACAACAAATGCTGAGCATTCTTGGTGTTAATATTAGGACTGCAAGCCAAAGTGAGGAAGTACTTGATGAACCAATGACAGAAGAGGAACTCAAGGAAGATGTGCCACAATCAAAGCCCTATGAAGAACAGGCTCCGCCAGCTGAAGAGCCTGTAGCTGTAGTCCAAACAACCAGAAATGTGCCTGCACAGGAGAAGAAAAAGATGCTTTCGCTTGAGGAGAGAATGAAAGAGTTCAGAGAAATGATGTTAGAGAGAGGGGTAAGTATACAGTAAATTTTGTCATTGTAAAGTACAGTGACATAACAAACAATTTTGGTGTAATCCTTGTACTCCAAAGATGATGTCAACCGTATGCTGATAAGATTTCATATTCTCATAACATATGTTGCTGAGTAGTGTATGGCTATTAAGGGGAAGAAATCCCTTGTTAATGTTCTCTTTCATACCCAAGACCTACACAATTCTGAGAATGTTACACGTAGTTCAGAAAATTTGGCATTGATCCCCAAATTATTATTTACTGTAAAAACCTGCAGATAAGCCACACCTTTTTTCCCAAAATCGTTGCTAGAAATTGGGGGTGCGGCTTATATATGGGAACATTTGAAAAAGGTGTCGTGAATGTTGCATCCGATCTAATACCTGGTTACTAAGCTTCAAATGTTCCACTCATGTTCTTGCTGTAATGCAAAAGTCTATGGAAAAACTGTGTTGAATGAAGAAATTCCTGTCAACAAATACCAGAAAAAGATCAATCATTTGTCAAAGTTGGTAGAAACAATGTTCATTATATTATAAAGTGCTAAAATTGTGGGTAAGACTTTGAAGTATTTTCTGTTGCAATGTTAACAGTGAGTTTAAGTTCAAAGAACAGTGGATGAAGAAGACTTGTCAAGACTTGACTCTGAATTTCTTTTGATTTCTTTCAAAAAACGTTTTTACCAAAATTTGAGCTGCTAAATTCAGGGTATGGCTTATCTACAGGTTTTTATAGTGTCTCTATTCACATCATTTGTTTGCTTGATATTGTATTGATATTGTGACAAGAAATTTTTACTTGGTCACTCATAGGAGTTAAATGATAATAATTGTGAAGAAGATTTAAACTTAATCTAAATTGTTTTTAAGGTGACTGTAAGGATTGCTTTTTCTTGCGAGTGTTCTGTTAGATACTGGGTCGATTCACCTACAGTGTCATTTAAAAAACACACTCTCTTGTTGGATAAACACAGAATCACAACAGCATTTTACTGAATTAAACGATCACAAATATTTACTTTTTGTAGGTGTCGGCATTTTCAACCTGGGAAAAAGAGCTGCCAAAAATTGTATTTGATCCTCGATTTTTACTGCTGACCCAAAAAGAACGGAAGCAGTGTTTTGAAAAATTTGTGCGCACACGGGCAGATGAGGAGAGGCAAGAAAGAAAGAATAAACTGAAGGCCAAAAAAGATGAGTTTAAGGCTCTGGTAGAAGAAGCTAAAACTGCAGGAAAGTAAGTTTATTGATTTCTTCATTACAAGCTGTATACTGTGAGTCATAGCAAATTTTGAAAAACTTGCCTTCCAGGTCTCTGTCCTTTGACAGAAGACATACTGTAAAGTGACACTTATGAATGCCAGCTTTTTCAAATTTGCTGTAGTCCTTCATCTACTTTCATTTCATTAGCATCTTGTTGATGACCAATACATAAACATTGTACATGACACATGTTATATTTTCAGAACATCGTTCAGTGAGTTTGCTATGAAGTATGGAAAAGATGATCGCTTCAAAGGCATAGAGAAGATGAAAGAAAGAGAGACTCTTTTTACAGAGTTTATGGCTGAGCTGAAAAAGAAGGAAAAAGAAAATCTGCGAGTCAAGCAAGATAAGGTTAGTCAGTTGCTCCTTTGGAGACCAGTGAGAGAGAGTTGTTGTGGCAATTTTAAGTGAGTGAGACAGGCAGGGTGGAAGGTTACAACAAACGTGTGAAGTCTTGCAGTTTCAAGAAATTAAACTGTGCAACATCAATTGGGAATGTTGCTTAAGGTTTGGATTTACAGAGTGGGTGAACAGACATTTTAGTGAGATTTAAGAATGGGTTTGCTTAGAGTGAAGTGTGAATGTTATTCTCCTGGTAAGACTAGGAGCAGACCCTCTTTTTCGGCAAAGTATGTTGGATGAGCCTGAAAAAAAAAACTGGTTGAAAAAATTGATGTTGGTACATAGCCTGGAACCCTGAGTTCTGCACAACATGCTAACATTGATTAACATAGTTGGGGACTGCTCATAGTCTGATATTTGGTTAGTACATGTAGTGGCTGATTTAAAAATGAAAATAATATGTTTTGAAAATAGTTGACAGAGTACAGGGTGTTGGAATTTGTTTAATTTCTTTCCTGATGCTGTAAATCCTTGTGTAGTTGTTACTCTAATTGGTACATTGTAGATGTCACTTCAGGAAATTGTCTGAAATTCTTAGAGCTAGCAAGTGATTCATTCAGTGATCATCAGACCTGTAAAATTTTCCAAAAAGCCTGTGTGGGAATCAAGTATTGTGAAGTCTTTGATTCAGGCATTTAATATGACATTAGCTTCTCAAAATGAATTATCCCTGCCCTATTTTTTGAAAGCTGTGTTCATTCTGCTCATCACTGTTCCACATTAGTTTCCAGGTTATTTTGTGTGGCATAGATCCCAAAGCCCCATGAGATTAGAATTCTCCAGCCCAGTCTCTTGATCCTCTGTTTGCAGTTTCATTTTGCTTGTCAGTATGTTTTAACCTTGTATCCGTCCATCTAATACAACACAGCACACAGTTGGCAAGGTTGCCTTGGCCTACAGTGAATTATGTTGCTTCTTTTTTGATCCTCTGTCTGTTCAGTGTTAAACCTGCCCCACCAGGTAACTGAGTCATTTCATAGCATTTATATCATTGGTTAAGACTTGCCTGTGTACTTCAAGGATAACCTCAAAGTATTTGGGTTTATCAGGGTAGTACACTTGTAAGAATGTTATTGAAGTGTAGTGCGCAATAATGTCACAACTTCCAGTGCTGTCATAGAGCCCAGTCAATTGGATACAGTTTTGCTGAAAGTCACATCTGTAAGCTTGGTTATATTCTTATCACAAGTATTTCCAGTTCAGAGTAATAGTTTGACAAAACTAGATGGACAAGAATTCTGGTACTGACAATGAATTCACTCAAAAATACACTTTATTTCTGAAGTCAACTGAATGCATCAGCTTTCTTTGGATTATACATTAGGGCACCATTCAATCAGATCTTTCAGATCTTTTTATTTATTTTTTTTTATTTTTTTTTTAATTATCTGCCTTAAGTATTGTCTTTGGGGTAGAACATATATGTACCAGTTTGAAATACAAATATTGTATAGGCACATACCAGATGAAACCAAACTTTTCCTCTTTGTACCTTTTCTCCTTTGGGGTGTCTGTAGTGTTTGAAATAAACAAAGTAAAGTCCCTTCTTTTTCCTGCTTACCCATCCATTTGTGCTTGTAATTTTAAAACAACATTTTGGAGATGAAGCTCTTTAAACCTTTTGCCTTGAAATGAAAAGCCACAACAGCAATAGCATAATTATTTCTTATTTCAGACATTTCTTTTTCATCAAGCAGATTTTCATTGTATCAGGGTGGAATGAATATTAATGAAATGATTTGCTTTTAACAGATACAGAGATGTGGGCATACATGTTTTAAGAGATTTTTTTTTTCCTAGAACACTAGGTATTATTTAACACACAAATTCTAAAAAATGGTACTCTTTGGAAGGTATCAACTGAAATGAAAGTAAAATAAGAGAAAGATTTAGGAAAGGGCCATTTTGCTGCATAATTGAAGTCTCTATACTTAAGCACAGGATTAATTCTTTCTTTCACCTGCATCCAGAAAATCTTGCCTTTTTAAAAGTTCATGACTAGGTAAAGTTCACCATTCAGACACAGAAAAAAAAAATATGTTAATATTTTCTTAAATGTCTGAAAATCAACATCGTAAGTATTCACACACTATTTGTAGTCTTCAAAAAGATGAAAGGTCTCATGGTTTGCAGTACTATAAATGTGATGCCTTTTTGTTATTATTAATTTTTCCTTCTGTTATTTTGGTTCCTACAGATTCGTAATGATTTTGAGGAACTATTGGATGAACAGAAACTAGACAATAAGGCTCAGTGGCGTAAGGTTCGTCACAAGATAGAAAAAGACCCTCGCTACAAGGCGGTGGAAAGTTCTTCACAGAAAGAAGAGTGGTTTAAGGAACATATTGAACAAATTTACAAGGTGATTTGTTAAGGGCCTTTGGCATGGAATAGTGTACCAATCAGTCTAAAACAGGCCCCCTCTTTAAGTACTTTTAAGTATGCTTTAAGTATTAAGAATATTAAGAATCTCGCTTCATACCATAAATTTGCAACATGCTTGCTGAACACAGGTTACCAAATTGGTCACTTGCTCTGCAAATTAATTTTTAGTGACAGGATTTTCTATTTTGCCCTCGCAACTGTAATAATTGCAATCTGGAGCATTGCAGGCTTCAGAGTGTAAAGAGTGAGTATCTGGTCAGAGTTGATACAAACCTAAAACAGAATCTCCCTCCTCTTCAACCTGCAGAAGGAGAATGCAGATAAGGAAAAAGAAAAAGAAAAACAGGAAAGAATAGAAGCAAGTCTCAGGGAACGAGAACGTGAGGTCAGAGCAAGCCAAGCTGAACTTGCCAAGGCCAGAGAGAAGGAGAAGGAACAACACCTCAGAGACAAAGCTGAACAGCATTTCAATGCATTGTTAGCTGATATGGTAAGGAAAAATGTAATCTTTTTAGTAATAAAAGTAAGTATGGGCTAGCACCTGCATGTACAGTTACAGCAGCTGTGACTAGCTTTAGTAGGTTGAAGTGAGTAGGAAGATGATGGGTTGTGAGTACATTTGAAGTAATCAAACAAAGTTGTCAGTTCTTTCAAAGAAATTGATGAGCAGTGTCCACAATAGAGTGAAATAGTAAACTTATTATCCACTGGAAATCAAGAAAACCATACGTTAGTCAGCAAATTTTAAAACTCTGAGGTTTCAAGAGGTTTTAAGAGGTTTCATTAGCTGTTTGCAGAACTTTAATGCCTATTTCTTGAAAAAGCATTTTTTCAAATTTTGCTGCAACTGTCTATTTATATCTCATTTGACCAACTTTGAATAAATAATCAACTAACTGTATCTGTGGTTATTTCCTTAATTTGTCACTTTGCCTGTGCATGGAGAAAGGCTGAGAGTTTGACAGCAAATGAAAGTTAACAACCTTCAGTTCTCAGTTGACAGACAAAAACGATCAAGATGTCCAGCACAAAAATACTTGTTATAAATCATTTTACTGTCTACAGGTTCGCAATGCAGATGTAGGCTGGAAGGAGACAAAAAAGACATTGCGTAAAGACCATCGCTGGGGAATGGCTGATGCCCTGAGTAAAAATGACAAAGAAGCACTTTTTAAAAGCCACATAGAAAGCTTAAACCATAGAAAAAAGGAGCAGTTTAGAAAACTATTGGATGAAACTCATGAGGTATGTTAGTTAGAACCTCTTAATTCCAGTCTGTTCACTAAATGTTGAAAGCCAGATTGGAAGAATTAAATTGCATAATTGGGAATTACAGTATTTCCTTGAACAAGTACCTGATTTCATATAATTATTTTACAATTCCACTGAAAAGGAGGGGCACTTATTGGAAGGAGGGTGCTTAATGTGGCAGGGGGGAGGGGAAATTTATCATTCTCCTGCACTGATTATGCTGTTGTTGAAGCTTAATAAGTTATAACTAAAGTGGCACTAGAAACAGATTTTAACCCTGATATGGATTATTTTTTTCACAGTTAACCCTTACTTCATCATGGCGAAGTATTAGAAAACTAATTAAAGAGGACCCCAGATACTCCAAGTTTTCGAGCCAGGACAGAGTAAGTAAACAAATGATGATTAACAAATGCATTTGCTTGAAAGAAGCCTGCTTGTAGCTCTATATGTATCATATTTTGTACTCCACAATTTTTTTTTGGACAGAAACGTGAAGAAGAGTTTAACCAATATCTGCGAGATAAACTGGCAGATGCCAAAGGGGACTTTCGGCAATTACTGAAAGAAACGCATTCACTAACATACAAGTAAGAGAAGGCTAACTTTTATCATATTACAACCTATATAATGTGGGTCAGGAATACTAGAGGTTCCTTGGGCAGTCTGGAGGTATACATGTAGTTCTAAAAGGACCATTTTGGGTAGTAGTGAAAGATGTTTTGACAACCCAAGTGCAAGTCTTCATCATACAAACTCAGTCCCTGACAGTGACTTTGGTGCAGGTGGTTTCAACATCAGGCATTGTTACCAACAGCTGTCCTTTGTGGGACCACTTTCATATAGAAAAGCAGAATTCCTAACCAACTGTTTCTCCTGGGTTCAATCTATTTACTGTAAAACTGGAGCTCTTGTAGCATGTGAACAATTGGAAACTTCAGTAATGTAGCCCGAGGTGGACCACAATGTGACATGTGTGTTCCTTTTCCATTCATTGTTTGTTTAGTTTCTTTCAGTGCCTCCCCACTTCTTTTGCTTCCTTCTTGATAATGTGCTGCTCTGACTCACAATAATGTGACAAGTGTACTGAAACATTTTCAGTGTTGTCAGCCTTCTGCAACCCTAAGGCTCTTCTCAAAAAGCACTGAATTGAGCAGACTTAGCTAACATATTTTCATGGGAGAATGCCCTGGAGTGAGGTCGAGCACTGTTTTTTTTTTATTTCTCCAGAACAAAGAAACAAATTGATGAATCTCATAAACATCTAAAAGATATCGAAGAAACTCTTAAGGTGAGTGCTCTTCATCCATTCAAATTCAAAAGGATACCTTTTAATTTTGACACAGTATAACCTTTTCTAAACCTGCCATTGTAAGTAGGTGGCCTTTGTAGGTTTTTTGAGAGTCAAATAAGAACAAAACATGAGGGTTTGTTTATTATTGGAAAAAAAGTTGTGAAAGAATACCATGTAGTTTGCACTAATCTATGATTTAAGTTTTTAAGTTTTTATGGAGAGGTCAGGATAGGATTGTGAGAACAGCTATAATCAATTTGTATGAAAATGGAAGATTGAGAGTCTTAGATTGTGAAAGTTTAGTACAATCACATCACTTATCATGGTTAAAAAGGTTGTACAGTGGTGAGAAAGCTTGTTGGAAGTGTTACCTCAATCATTTGCTAAAACCTTATAGAGGATCCTTTGATTAGTGATTATGGCCCTCAAGGCTCATAAGTTCTTAGGCTTTCTTAAAGGGGAAATGAACTTAGATGTATTTATTGTTAAATTGCTTGAAAAGTTGCTATTAATTCAATATGAATAGTAATCACAGTTTTGCTTAACAGAAATATGATTAACTCAACTTATGTCAGAAGTGTGGTACAGTCATGACTGTCACTGAAGTCTCAATTATGAACTTTGCAACATCATTATTAATCTTCACATGGTTTGATAATAACTGTAGTTTGTTCTCAAAGAGAGAATATTACCTTCGATCAATCATTATTTCTCCTCCCTGTCTGACCTTGCAGAAAGACAAAAGATACTTGATACTGGAATGTGTTCCAGAAGAACGAAACAGATTGCTCAACAGTTACATTGATGAGCTGTTCAGGACTGGACCACCCCCTCCTCCAACAGCTTCCGCACCATCAAACAGATCCAAAATGCATTAATGAAGAGCACAAGAATTGCACAATGAAAACTGACTTTTACTCTCTTTGAAGTAAATGATATTGACCTGAATTTCATCACAAAATACCCTTGATACTTTTATTCAGTAAATACATGAAACTCTTTGAAATTTGATTTATCCTATGGTCCTTGAAATTCTGTTTTAAAATCTCTATTAACTGGTTTATGGCCTTTTTTTTTTAAATGTTGATGAGAAAAGATTTGACAGAGATTGTCTTTGGCCACAGTGCAGGCATCTCATAAAATTAGAGTGAGTTTATATTACAAGCTGGGGATTGTTTATTCAACCCATCATGTTAGATTTAGAGAGGGGGATTGACCCCACCCCATCCTCTCCTTCTTTTTGACTATTCCTCACCCCTTTGGTACAAATTTCTTCCTCTTTCTATTCTTCCCCTTCTATAAAAATCACAGATGGCAGCTATAATTTTCACCAAGAAAATACTCAGTGGTTGCTTGCCAATCAACAATCAGATCTTGGGAGTTACAGGGTTAAGACAGCTTTTGGTTTTACTCTTGTTTTGAAACTGAGTTACCTTTGAAAGAGAAATGGTTTAAAGACAGTTTAGAGGTACCTCTCTTTTGATTGATTTTCAAGCTTTATTTTTAGACTGAAAGCTTGAAATTTATCTGGGATTGGAGAGAAATGTTTAGCATTGCTATTTTTACAAATTGTGCCTTCCTTTTTGCTCTTTGCCCATAACATTGTAAATTTTGCATTCATCTTGGAAAATCATATAAAATGGTGCAGTCAGTTTAAAATACATTTCTTTAGGCAGCATTTCTACCAAATTTTCTTGAAAAAAAAAAAAGGAAGCAAGAAAGATTAAGCTCTTTTTTTTGTCTTGTATGCTCATATCTTGGCCATTAAGGTGAGAAAAATTAAGATATGACTAATGTTTGCTGCTAAAAAATATTATGCTGTAGTATTGTCATTTTTTTCTTCATTATTTATATGATCCTTAGGAGTGCATTTTGAACCTCAGTATTTTAGGCTGAGAGCTTCAATTTTGGTACTTACTCATTGTTCTTTTATTTTAACCTGTTAACCCCCCAGAAGTGATTAACATGTAACTTCACCACATAATATAAATACATTATCCAACAAACAGGTGATAAGAATACTCAAACTTATCAGGTAGAAGTTATCTTAATCTAACAAAAATTTCTCCTAATTGATTTGAGAGGAAATGTGTAAAAGCTAGTGGGGAGAATTAACAAGCAGATCGTTGGAGTCAATTGATGTGTTCTAAGCTTAGGTCTTGCTTCTCAGTGTATGCAAGATTCTGTTATCCTTTCACCATTTCCATTCCATCTAGTAGTGTTTTTAAAAATCTTCACCCTTTTATGTAGATTGTGATGATAAAAAAAAAGTTGTACCTTACAATAAAAGTCTTTGGAAAAAAAGATTGTTTTGTTTCCTTTTTTTGTCTTAAATCATTCAAAATGTACTTGCTGCCAAGTAATGTAATTTATCAGCTTCTCAGTCACTTCTAGCCATGTTATGAGAAAACCTCTTTAACCTTTCATCATGTTAATGTGCTTTATTACAAGGAAGTGTCTTTGTCATGAGTTTAGGGTCCAAATAATTTGTTCACAGTTCAGAACTGTCTTCCCAAAACAGCAAGAAATTGGACTTCTTAAGGGCATTTTTAACTTTATTCGACTGATCAAAAAATAAAATGGATTTGTACAATTTTCTTTTCCATTCATTAGAGTTTTGAGATATTAAGAGTTACAATTGAACTGCAAATCTAATAGTCTAGGAAGTCAGCAGCTGTCTCCTAAGCAACAGTGCTTATGAATGGTTTTTCATTGCAACTGGCATGAATGTGCAATGTCTCTTGAGATGATACTTTTTTTCCATTTTCTTGAATGACTGTTCTTGTCAAAACAATACCCATAATCTGTTACTAGTATGTGGCTGTAGAGAGCCAACCTATACCATTGCTGGTCATCGATGGAATGCATCATCTCAATTGTGGTTGGTTCCCCAGTGGCACAAGCCTGACCAAACATCTTTGTCAACTAATAACAAAATGAGAGTACAACTATTTACACCATACTTTAATTCATAGATTGCATTTTTAGGTGTAAAATGGATAGTCTTAGATCTTAACAAAATATTTTAATTAATCTAGTTGTGCAATGTAATTCTCCTTGCTGTCACATGAACAGCTTTTCGTCATATCAAAATCCTATTTTCACTCAAAGCCAATTAAACTATTTTCCACAAAATAAAAATTGATCATCAGCTGTTTTCTCCTAGGACAGATAGGAATAACAAGAATTAAGGACACAATAAGACTTAAACGTGTTCCAATACGACAAATACCACTGAAGTCTTGTAAGACAAGTAAAAGTGAGTACTTGAAACAGCAAGGAGAATATTTATCTTGATCACTGGACAAAAAAAAAGTGCCTAACTTCTTATTATGTAATGATGGATGGGTCACCTACATACATCATATATCCAATTTTTCAAACTTCAAATCCCAAATATTTCCTTGGAAAACATCAGTCCACTTTCATGATCATTGTAAAATCTGCCTTTTAGGGATGTAGTATGCAGAACTTCATATTTTTTTTTGCAAAAGAATATATGCAGGTGACCAGCATGGAAATTTATCTCTATGTAACATCTGATGAGTCTTAAGGAATACTTCTATTAAATCAACTAACTACAATTATTGTATTGTTGTAAAAGAGCATGGTTTGAATAAGAAAAAAGCTCTTGCTAATGAGTCAGGTAATAGATCATGGAGTTTTAAGATAAAATGATCCTAATGGCACTTAAAGTCCAGGAACAAGTAATGTATGTATTTTTTTTTTTTGGATAATAAGGTCATTTTATGCCCATGAAAATGAAAACGTTATAAGCAAGTGTCACTAAACTATTACCTTATACTGTTAGAGGAAACTTAAAACATTAAATTAAAAATCTAATGGTAATATACAGATTAGAGTGGGGAATATAGCCACAAACTAGAAAACCTCAGTACAGATTGAGACTTTGTTATACTTGAAAGACTTGTACATGTAGTATTTATCTACTGGCATCAACACTGTTGCATGCACAGTCAGTGCAAACACTAACTGATACCACTGAACCTTCAAATTGAAAATTTCTAGGAAATGAGAAAGCTCATTTACATAAAAACAATTATAGGGCCTCCATTACCTGAACAGCTGAAAGCAAATACAAAGATTCAGCTGTGTTTCATATCACCACTTTGTTTCCCTTGGCAACAAATTTAACATACAGTGTACACATAATTTTTTTTGGAATATTTAGGTGCTTGGATTAAACAGTAAGGGTGTTCATTTTGTGGCAACGTTAAATTATAATTCAAATTTTATGTTTTTCTACTGCTAAGCTGCTATGAAAGCAGTTTATAATTAAAGAAAAAAATTCACATTAAAATATTGTAAGTGCTATGTGAAAGATATTCCATGATTTTGCTTTTCTTGCACCATACATTTACTTACATCTTAGAAATTTATTTTTCTTAATTAAATAATTTGAACCAACAGCAAATCCTACAGAAGTTCACTTGTTGACCGAAAAAAAAATAAAAAAATAAAAAAACAGCAACAGACAGAATAAAGAACAATTTTGATCACATGAAAATTGAATTCAGTTTTGGCTGGTGGTACAAATCTAAGCTGTTAAAGTAAGGGGTTGCACAGTTTCAGAAAGTGGCATATAGAAACTGTGACCCCGATTATCATGACTGTAGAAGTACCCTCTCTGTGGGCCTGGTTGCCACTGCTGGATTCCCTGTGCAGGACAACTATGAGGTCGTTCGCCAGTGAAGGTGTCTTTGTAGGTTGTATTCATTGTCATCTCCCCACTCATTGGCCTGTGGGCATCGTGACGGGCAGGTTTGGCTGGAGGTACATACTGCCCTCTATAGTGACTTCGCATTGTGGATTCACCATGGAATTTCCCAGATGGTGGTCTGTATTCATCGGGTCGGCCACTCCTTTGAGTTCCTTGTAATTCCCATGCCTTGAATGCATCTTTATGTGTTGTACTATCCTCAAAAGGCTTGCCAGATGTAAATGACGTGACTGGAGGTTTGGCACTTTCAGCTGGTGGTATGTCCCACTTTGGGTAATCATGCTGAAAAGTGGTGTTGGTTAAAAACTTGGCTGTTGGTGGTCTGTAGGCTTCCTTTGCTCGTACTTCTCGCTTGGGAATCGCCCAGCGCCTATAGGTCACACCTGTGGTAGTGTCTCCTTCAAATGGCTTATTTGACTTGATGACATCCTGAATTGGCTTGAAACTAGAAGCAGGCCTGCCACCTCTGTAGGCAAAATCATCCATAAATGTGGTATTTCCTTTGAAAGGTTGGCTGGTATTGGGGCGTTTCTCAACAGGTTTGGCTGATTCAGCTGGGAGAACCTGTTTTCTAGTGTAATCAAGCCTAGTAGTTGTGTCACTCTCCATAGGACCCTTATTCACACGGATTTCTGAGTCTGGCGGCCGGATCTGTGGACGTCTTCCCAAATAGTATCCAGGGTAGTCGGTTTGAAAGATGGTTTTACCATTCATTTTGCCATCTCGAGCCGCTGGCATGGCATCTGGTTTCATACTTTCCATCTTGCACAGCCTCAAATCCCAAGGCCTGTAAGTATCTTGATGGACTGTACTGCCGTCAAACGGACTCTCATGAGCATGAAACGTTGCTAGTGGCTTGGCAGATGTAGCGGGAGGGACCACGGTTCCGGGATAGTCATGTTTGTAGCTGCTTTCACCAGCCATCTGCCCTTGCGGCCTTATGTACGGGGCCTTTTCGCGTTTTGTCGGAGGAGCATACGAATGTGGGACATAATCAGTCGAATAATTTGTTTTTTCGTCCATCGGCTGGGACGAGTTTTTGACCGTGTATTCTGGTTTGAACGGCAATCTGCGGTCGAGAGGATGTCTCTTGTAGCGATCTTGATACTCTGTAAATCGACATGGATGAACTGGAGTCTTTGCTTCGGGTCTGTGGGCGCATCGATGCCTCCTAAATATTAAAAAAATAAAAATAAACCTTCCCTCTAATTTCCTAAATAATTCTGTTAAACGCTACGATTATAGACATCTCCTCATGTTCGTAAAACCAAAAGTCATTGAAAACACGCCGCGATGATTGAAAGCAATGGGCAAAACAGAATCATCGATAATGAATAGGAAATGAAAATTTAGAAATATTTCACTTACCCACACGTACAAATCTGACAAATACAAAGTGTCTTGACCATCTTGAAAGTCTCCTCTATTTCAAACGCAAGTAATCACAGCAAATAAATCCGGTCAAACCACAAACCCCATCTCTCTTCGTTTTCATCAAGCAAGTTGTTTATGGCCGTTGCCATTGCCGCTTCTGTTGCCACGCGCGCAAGTGAACTTGGTTAATAACAATGGCTATTGTAATAACGAGCTCTGATTGGCTAAGTGGAATTTAATTGGTGACATATGTAAAGGAACATGAATTGATGAGTATAAACATGTGGTTTTCTTTCATGGTAATTCAATATTTTTAAGCATCGTGTAGTCTTTGCAAGTCCAATATTTTTAACAAACACCTTTTTGGATCCTTAGAAAATTACACGATAGCGTTCTTTAATTGTTTTGCAATCCTGAAAGCCAATACATGTAATGCTATTGGATGTCATTCAGGGACATTTATTTACGAAATAATTGTCGAACAGCCGGAGGCAAACGTCGATGAGCTTCGCCTAGCAACAATAAATTTTGGGATTTCAATTATCTGTGTTTAACAATCAGGAACGTCTAGATAGTTCTGTAAATTATTATGGACTAGAGGAATATCAAAACATCGCACATTACGGACATCACAAGACGGAAAAAAACCAGATCAAACAAGCTCATGACGAAGGAAATCCCGTGAATGTCAATCTGTTGACCAAGGTTTTCGTCCCTGAATTTTTTCAGTTTACAAACTTTTGTTGTCATTTGTTTTTACATGAATTGCAATTATTCATACACTCAGGCCACAAAAATTTTGCAGGGCTGAGTTGAATTTTAGTAACCCTGAAGGAGCCATGATTTATATTTCTTGACATTACCATCAAAATTTTAAAGCGAAGTTATCTATTCAGAAGGAGAGGAGTTTACCATGTCGAGGCGGTGGGAGTAATCCGCATCGATTGCTGTTTGTTTAGCCGGTATATTCAAATTATCAGCGTGCAGCCGGTACATTCGCAAGACGTTTGCACTCATCTTAGACATTCTAACGAGTATTTGCTTCCGAAAACGCAAGGAAACGACCCTTTTAATTTAATTTAGACAGCGAGCAGACCCTCGTTCGTGGAAAAATTTCAGAATAATTACGTTAAACATAACATAAATTTTCTTCCTTGAGTTTATTGCAAATCAAACGTTTATCTTAATCAAAGAAATAAAGTTGACCTACAAGAAAATATTGAATCAAATTTGTTGAAGGAACAGCCTGAAGGGAAGCAAAGAATGCGGAAGGCCAATGCGGAGCTAGAAGCTGGCCCCAGTCATACGATATCATTCGAGAAGCACATGATATTGTCATACATGCTGCCTCTATTATTTGTAACATGAAGCAGAACAGTCGAGACTGAAGTCCTTTACAATGGCCTTTCCGGTCATTTCAATGAGTAGTAAAAATATAGCTGGGGGGCATGGTTGTCGCACAGGAAGAATCTCAATCGCCCTCCCACCCCTACTTGAAAAAAAATATTGATCAGAGTCCGCAGTCTCCCGTTCTCCGAATAAGTGATACGCAAAGAAATATAAATAAATTGAGAAGTATAAATGTTCTTCCTTCATGAAATCCTTAAATAATCACACTCGAATGCGTTCTTTAATTATTTTGCGATCGATGTCATTTTGCGGACATTTATTGACGCAGGAGCCCATTATGTGATAGGCTCCTGTTAATGAAGTAATGATAGTCGAACAGGCGGAGGCAAACGTCGCCAAGCTTCGCCTAGCAACTATTGAAAGAACCTCTTAAATGTCGGGATTTTGATTATCTGTGCAGGAACGTCAATAGCCTTTCCGGTAATTTCAATGAATAATAAAAATATCGCTCAGGAACAGGTAGTCGCACACGAAGAATCTCAAACGCCCCTCCCACCCCTACTTGAAAAAAATATTGATCATAGTACCCAGTCTCCCGTTCTTCGAACGTTGTAGTTTTGGCGGCAAAAGTTGCCCACCCGCGGCAAAACTTGTCGGCTCTCCAAGGCCACGGTAATTTTTGGTCAAACTTTTGTTACATTGTATCAAAAGAGGAATTCATAGTGAATCCTAGTGTTTTCCTAATTGGAAATACCAAGACCGAAGAGCTTAGATCGTTTTTGAAAGATTTTTGGCATGCTATGGTTGTTAGCGACACGAATTATTTAATTCCGAGAGGAGAAGTTCTCACAAATTTCTGTTAAAAAACTCACTCAAAGGTTCGCTAATTTCAAGAGATGAACGGGCCAGTTAAAAGGCGAGGAGGAGTTTCGCTTCTTCAAGACAGCTCCTTTTTAAATCAAGGGTTTCAACAACACTTTGATGAAGAATACCCATCAACGTTACAAGCGACAAATTACCTATCAAGGAGGCAAATGCATGCTGAACGCATACCTTGGGAAGAAATTCAAGAAAATCCTCGGGAATATAAAAATCCAATTTTGTTCTCAGAACCAGGACAAAGAGTCATTCGAGCAATAAGACAACTTTATGGGACGAGACAAGGAGCTATTAGCCATTCTTGTGCGCCAAAACATGGTAAGTCATCTAGTACTTGTAGTTCGAAATTAAAAATTATATCCAGAGTAACGCCATGCCAAGAGGGTCAAACTATAATCGCAAATCATTTCTTGAGATGTTCACGCAAAAATGGAGTATTAGATGCGCGGTAAGTTACGTTTTGTACCAGATAAATTTTCCTACTTGACTTCTGTTTTAGCTTCGGAATATTACCATAAAAAACCACACGAGTTACCGTCTGTTGAACGCAAGGAGGACTATTTGACAAATCAGAATGACTTATTGGAGTTCAGTTTGGCCCCATCTTGTGGTATACAACAAAGACTACAGACAAATGAGGGACTACAAAGGTATTATCAAATCTATAAATAATTTTCCTCGTAGCTTGTCCATGCAGTTGTTCTCATAGTTATTGCTATAAACGTACGTTGTAGTTGTTGTTATTGTTGGTGGTGCTTTTGTTGTTATTGCTATTATTGTTGTTGTTATTGTTGTTTTATGACTGCTGTCGTTGTTTTGTCAAGTTTATGTTTTGAGCGGTTAGACTTTGAAATCTCACTCCACCTGAATCGTACTTCTAGATAAACAAACAAACGTATATTTAGGCATTGCCATTGGAACTTCACCTACAAGAGTGTGGTAAAGATGATTTTCAAGATTGACTAAGACATTTTTACTTGATAAAATAATTGTGTTAATTTAATTGTAGGGAAGAAGAATTGCTTTCCTTTGCCGGAAAAACAGGTAAAGTGATGTTTTCATCAGCTACCATGACCCAATGAGACTAACGGGGTTAGTCAGTTACAAAAAAAAATTGTTTTCAACTTTTTTGGCTAGAAAAATCTGCCCAGTCTCCTGCCTCATGTTAACACTTCTAGCAACCCCTGTAAAAGCTGATAGCTCTTCTAAAATGCATGGTACCAAATATATATATTTTTTCCAATCGAAGGTTGTTCTTCTCCAAAGGAGAAAAATGTCAATTCTGAGAGTGGAAACGAGCATAAAAATAAAAGGAAGGCACAACAAAGTCCTATTACAAACTACTTCAAAGAAAGGAAAACTTTGCAAGTAAAGGAGGCCGTGAAAGTTAAACCAGCCAATGCAAACAGAGGTAAACTAACCCAGGAAGTGAATTGAAATAGTAAAGAAAAAAATTAAACTTAAATGCTCCAAAAGAGTGAATATGCCTAATAGGATTTATAACTCTTCATTACCCCTGAGAGGTTCACTCTAGATTAACATTTTTTCGAATGTTTTGTGAGCTCAGATCATGTTGAATTGAATCTTAGACCTCTTAGATCAACACTATCAATTCAACAACGGCATGGCATAACGTACATTTTCCCCAGCAGATGCCTCCTGGGAGGATCAAACAAGTGTTGTTACAGTCTCAACGATGAATCCAACACAAAGAGAGGAATTCCGACAATGCCTTGAATCAGCAGAAGAAGTTGCTTGCACCTTAATTTATGAAGACGGGTCGTCACTGCTAAGATCAAGGAAACATCAAGTGGGTGATCGATCTTTGTGTAATTGGATTACGTTCTGGACCAGTCGAGCCTTGAACTGAGGGTATATGGAGTGAAAACCTGGTCATAAAATTCTGCGTTCTTAAGGCTTGCCGAAAACGTTTTATGTGCGAGTGCAGTTTTTGAATAACTTTCATGTTGTGATTATAATTGTGCTTAAGAGTGCGTTAAAGCAAGCGAAAGTTTATGCTCACACCCCAAGAGCGAAAAAAGCCTAAAGCTTAATGTCATAACTAAGCAGAAAAACGAAAGAAACAAGTGTTGGTTGACTGATTTTACTATTTCACTCAATATTGTAGAAAACAAAGAAACAAGTAGAAGACGTGTGTGGCGAAAAGGTAAAATGAACACAAACTTTTAATTCCACCGTTAGTCAAATGTTTTTTCCTACCACATAAAGCTACTTGAAATTGAGGTCACTCATACAACTCATTATTTATCCTTGCTAGCGAAACTTAAAGATTGCTAGTTTGGTTGTCGCATTACCAATATCTGAGATAACAACCTCAGGTTTCGTTGATCACCCTGTACAGCGCCGTAAAAGTCGATTGATGGTCGTGGAGATTCCTCTGTGCACGCAGGATGGCGATATGAAAAAATGGTGCAGGTGAAACTAAGTAATTAAATTTTATGAAAATATATTTCCTTTTTCCGGGTGTTCAGTCCACTTACGACAATACGCAAACCCTTCCGCAATAGATTTTTCAAGTCCATTGGAAAACTTCCTTCGATCTCCCTTCTGGCAATGCAATTATACTGTCGAAGAGGAGGCAAGATTAAATCGCAGTTTTAGCTGTAATAAAAAAGGGTGCTTCATGTGTTTTTACAGGACAGTGGTACATGATTTAATGACGTCATCGAAGAGAAAAATCTGCTACGGTGCACAATTGATTATACGCTATTTAATAGAGACTGCGCATGCTGACATCAGAACAGGTGAGCCTGTCTCTACATTTTTGGCGCTAAACAAGGCTTTTCACCATTGCTCCCCGAGAAAACTTTGAAGTCTCGTTTGAATTGTGATATCACCTCGCCTTTAGTTTTTTTACACCAAGCCACCAAGCAAAATAACCCAGATGATAGATATTGAAAAAATAAAGATTACATTACTGGTGATGTATTATTAACTTTATAAATTATTTTCCTTTTGTTTTCTCAGTGTGCCTCAAATGGCGTCTTTTTGACCCAAAAATTGCAGCTTGGCTTCTTAATCCTGACCACCCTCCTCAGAGCTTCGCTGAAGTTGTAACCTCTGCTCAGCTGAGCCTGCCAAAGGTAAACAGCTGCATCACACATATTCCTTGTCTAGAATGTTTTAATTGTTACTCCTTTCTTTCATTTCATAATATTTTTAAAGTGCAAACCGAAAGTTTCATATAAACGGCCCAGCTAATGAGGGTTTTGCTCTTTCATGTGCAGGGTGGAAAGGAAGATGATTGTATGGTTTGTCGCGATATTGCGATGCTTGGACCTGTTATGGTTAAACAACATAGCATGCTTAAGGTAAACGAATGAACAAGATAGGAGAAAGGAAATGTCATGAGAATAATTGACAAAAGGGTATAATTTCCTGTTTTGCAAAAAGGTAGACGTTACTGAGAGAATAAGGCGTCAGTGAAGCAACATGTCTCTTTATGGAAAACAGCTTCAATTTTGTTCTCTCAGGCACTATCACTTTGGGATTTGTTCATCAACATGGAGATGCCCGTTTGTTCGATGTTAGCAGGTACTGCCAATAACTTTTTGTTTCGTTTCTTCTCCTTTCTTCTTTTCAACAGGGCTGGTTGGGGAATATTTTCCCTGAAGACATTTAATATCACCATTCGTGACCATTAAAATAATAAACCTAAATTTGTTTATTTTTTTATTTAGTGATGGAGACCCAAGGAATTAACATTAACACTCAAGTTTTGATTGAGGCGAGCAATACTCTCAAGGTAAATTATAGTTTCAGTATTATTGCCTTCGAGTGTCATTAACACCCACACCAAAGCATTTAATGACAACAGCAAATATGATTTGACTTCAGAACAAAAGTAAGCCAGACGTCTAAATAAACCAGTGGGAACTGAAAAAGAGTTTTTGAGAGCTTAAAGCTACCATCTGGAAAAAAGAAATGTGGTCAATTGAAGATTGGTTTTGAATCAGATCGTTCAAAATTATGAGATACATTATACATTATAGTAAAAAAAAAGTGTTTTGTATGTCTGTTTGTTTGTTTGTTTGTTTGTTTTTTTCACGCTCAGGTGAAAATCAGTGGCTTCCTTTCACATTCTTAATAGGTGAATATGCTTCAGATTGATCATAGTCCTGATCTAGACTTTTAGGACGTAAGCTTCATGTTGCACCAACTTCACTGACTAGTACCATTATGATTACAGATTAAAATTCAAAAGGTCGAAGCAGATGCTCATAAGGTATGAACAAGAAGTCCGAAAGAGTTAACAGAAAGCCTCTCGCAGCAGCTCTCAAATAGGCGACGTAGCATAGTGCTCAGATGCTATACAAGTGCTGCTCAAAGATATCCAATTTTTTTCCTTAACAATTTCTTCAAAAATTCCCTTCCACTGTTTGGGGCGGCGATGCTGAGAATTTGACAACTGCTTGATATTGAGCCTGGTTAGCACATTATTTGCTTTGAATGACTGAAAAAAAGGAGGCCTTTGAACTGATAACAACAATTGTCATTATTTGTTCTTTTGGCAGGCTGCAGGACACCCGTTTCTGATCAACAGTCCTCAACAGCTGAGAGAGGTATGGTGCCCTAAAATCGTAAATCAAGGTCATTACCACATGTTTATTAGAAATTTTATGGTCTTGTTGAAGGTGTTATTCGAGGAGTTGCGTTTGGACCAAAAGTGCAAAAAGAAGCTTGCAAGAACTTCCATCAAAAACTACAAGTCTACCTCAGAAGCTGTGGTTAGTAGTATAGTTGACTACACATCGACCACGTACAATTTGACGGCTGCAAGTTTGTCAGATTATATCTGTGGTGTTTAATGTGAACTATATTTTACTGTTACCGTTAATTAACCGAATAGCCGATCAGTGAACTGAAACCTAATAAATTTGATTATTTCTGTGTCCTTTTTCAGTTACTCCACCTACAGGAGTTCCACCCTTTACCAAAACTCGTCCTGCAATATAGACACGTATGTTTAACAGCATTTTCCTTAACGTTTGCCTTAAACGCATGCCATATGCAGCTAAGTTCAATACACTTGATAAAGGGTTCTCACGTAGAGTCTTAGATATTTAAAGACATTTAGATGTGAAAAGAGAGGTGATGAAGCCGCGATTACTAGTTTTCTGCTGAATCAGTTGTCTCTCTTCATCAACAGCTAACTAAATTGAAGTCGACATACTTTGATGGAATTCTTTCCCATATTAATGAGGTAAATGTTACAAATAAACAATGTCTGGTATTTTGTACAGTGCACGTTTTCTCCTTTTGTTGGTAATTGTTGCAATGTTACTGTTTTTGTATATCTCTCCTCTTTGTTTTGTAGGGAGTGCTGTCTACGAACTGGTAAGTTTGTTAGTGTCTCTGATGTTCGTTGGTTGTGTTTTTGATTATTTCCTCCGTAGCTTTGCTTGCATTTTACTTTCTTTTCCTTTCATAACCTAATTTCTGCTTGCCCTTGAGGTCCTTCTTTCCTCGTCTGTTCCATTGTAGCATAACTATGTCAAACGAACTACAGTCAACTCTCTCATACGCGAACACCCACGGGATGTGTCCGTTAGTTGAACTGTTTGCCGACGAGAATTATTCCCACAAGTGGACACCAAAGAAAAATTGGGTGGATGTCCGCTTGCGAAAGATCGTTATGTAGGACACTTCTTAAGGTCAAACGTTTACCGACAGCTTACTTTCTTACAAAAAAAATGAAGATTTGAAAAAACCGATCCAACCGTTCTGTTGCTCTGTCAAAGGTCACCTTTTTGTTGATTTTCAAATTCAAGACGTATTTTATCGTCAAAAGTCAATTAAATGATATGCTTGTCCGCTTACAAGAGAGCGTTACATTTTCACCATAAAAAGTGTCCGCGCCGGCTTCCGAGAGAGTGTACGCCTGCGGGATTGTTTATATACAGAGTTTGACTGGGAGGAAAAAAGTGTCCGTAAGTAAAATTGTCCGCTCTGAGAGTGTCCGTTAGCGGAGAGTTGACTGTGGTTATGGCTGCTGTTGTTGATGCTCACTCAATTTCTGGCTCTATCATTTTTTTAAATACGTATGCTTGCAACCAATCGCATGATTATCTTGTAGAGAAGTACAGTCGTAGCATGAATTTGTGATGATTTAAGTGAAACATTTTATCTTTTAAACATCTGTAGTAAATGGGATAATAATCAGAGCTCTGCGATTTTTTCCAGGGACCAGACGGCGGCGGCCACAGGGCGATTGACCTCAGCCAATCCGGTAAGTGCCCCCTTGCACATGCATGGGGTGAAGCAAATCCTGGTAAATAATCTTTTGAATGCATTATCGAAAGAGCAGTAAACAACGGCACGTGCATGACCCATTGCTTGACTGCAGACAACAATGATATTTAAAGCACCATGCAATTAACACTAAGAACATAACTCGTACTGAATCTTTGATATTCATGGACATGTTATCGGTTATTTAGATGTAAAAGAATGATAAAATGTTAGGAATTGACGACCTTCTTGATCTTTGATTGTCACATCACCCAAATGACTCACTCTTGAACCAGAAACTATCCAATACTTTGTGTTAGATGAACGCGTTGTGTAATTTACTTGTTTTGTCTTCAGAATCTTCAGTCTATCCCAAAACAAGCAATTGAAGTCTCCGGAATAAAGAAACAGCCTATCGTCGGTGAGGAGCGAAAAGTATTTGGTGACGTAAAGTTGAAGTTTGCGTCTCCTTCGGAGAACTTTTAAATGGTTAATTACTGGTTGTTCTTTTTCAATCGGGCTCAATATCTTTACTGTCTGGGGAAAGTGTTTTATTTCTTTTAAGTAAGTGACGTCACGAAGAAAGCCACTCAGAGGTGATGATTCTGTCACAATTCTTAACTATAGGTAAACCAGAAGAGGTAGTGACAATCTATGCACGGAATGCTTACAGAAGTAGAGAAGGCTGGCTGTTACTTACAGCAGGTACACCTAAAACCTGAGGAAATTATTCACTTCCTCTTCTAAAGAGGGGAGGTGTTTAACTTATGTCAAACTTTTGTTGGTTAGGACAATTGCAAAACAGACTGGAACTGTCAATCAGTATGATAAGATTTTTTATCATTCCTAGGGCGTACTCGGAGAACTTAATGAGCAAAAATATCTGATGATTTAATCATTGCTTCACATTCTTTACAGATTTTCAATCAATTGAATTGCGCCTGTTGTCTCACCTGTCAGAGGATCCTTCACTGGTTCAAATATTCAATGACAAGCAGTGTGCAGACGTATTCACGACGCTTGCCTCACAATGGTATTATCAGGGTTTTATTGCCGGAGAAAAATGATTTCAATAACGTTATGTACCAGCCAGAGTCCCATTATTTTCTTATGGCACCTGTCTCATTAAAGTCTCGATGAGAAATCTGATCAGATCAGTAACTGACAACAACTTCTAAAAAAAGAAAAGTTCAAATCACAGTTCAATGCGAACCTTCTTCTGTTCTTAGGTTGGGGAAAAGCTGTAAAGAAATCCAACTTCACGAGAGAGAGAGAACTAAGCGAATTGTATACTCTGTTATCTACGGTGTTGGTACGAAAAGTTTTGTATTATAATGATAACAGAACCCTAAAAATATTTTAAACGGATTATGCAAAATAAACGGAACGACCAACAGCGGTGAAGTGTAAATTTTTTTTTTCATCGTTTTACAGGAAGTGAAAAACTTGGACAAACTCTCAAAGTGAGCGCCGAGGAAGCAAAGGGATTTATGGAAAGCTTTCTAGGTCTCTTGAAAATCCTGTCTTAGAAAAAACGTCCATTCACTCGTGCATTTCTCATAGTAGGTGCTTGTCATCCATCCATAGCCTAAGAATTATTTTTATCCATGTTGTGTTACACCAGGGCGATTCCCTCGAATAAAAGAATTTACTAGAAGCAGTATCGAAAGTTGTCAGCGAAAAGGTTGGTAGTGGAATGCCATATGTTGTGGAAGTTTGTTGCGTTTCAGTCGTTCATTTATTCATTTATTCACTCATCTAATCATTCTTCAGCCCTGCTGCCTCCAGGTATTTTTAAACAACATTTCAATGTGCATGTTTTTCTTGGATCGGGTGACAGGTTCCATCACGACTGAGCTGTGTGTTTTACACCTGGACTAGTAGGAATTCTTTCTTTTGTTGTATGCATGCTTAGAGCGCATTTCCACTGAGCGTTGAAAAACAAAGACCAAAGTTATCAGAACAGCCGATCAGAGGAAAGGAAAATATCACAAGAAGCTATGGAGAAATCAAAACAAAAACAAGAACACTGCGTGTAGCGCGAGACAACGCGTGCGACCAACTTTCATTGCGATTAGTTTTAGTTTTCAATCTGATTGGTTGAGAGGATGGCGCGAGTTTTCTGGACCAATCAAATAAAATAGCTTGTGAAATAAAGTAAAACCAGCCTTCACGACTGGTAGCACTTCTTTCTTTTCTCAGGTTACGTGTCCACAATTCTTAACAGAAGACGGTGGCTGCCACATATTAAGTCCTTCGACTTTACTCAACGGTCACAGGCTGAGCGGCAGGCTGTTAACTTCATCGTACAAGGTTTCTCCGTTTTTTTCTTTTTTCTTTTTTTTTTTCTGGTTTTTTTGTCTTTTTAAGAAAAACGTTTCCTAATTGGCCACAAAATTCTCTTCAGTTTTCCCTTTCCCATAAGCCCCTTGGGTATTACAAAACTGAAATCACTTTTTCTCGCAGTCGCACGTCACAAATAGTTCATTTTTTGATAGGTTTATTAAAATGTCTTTTGTAAACTGATTGAAGGTTCAGCAGCGGACATTTGTAAAGCAGCAATGATACAAGTCATGATAGCTGTATGCAAGGATCCTTATGTGAACGCAAGGTATACGTAATGTTGCATGCTCCATTTAATTGCATTCTGCAACAGCTAAACTTAATTATGATTAGCCTTTTTTTACGCAAAAATCTACTACCACTTACGTTTATTTAATCCTGACGAGTTTTTATTGTTTTATCTGTTTTATTTCGTCTCTGTCAGTTTGTTTTTTGTCCATGTTCTTGCTTTGTCAAGCTTCCCTTCTTTTACTTCTACCTTGTTCGAATGACTTATGTAAGTAATTTTGATATCTCAAAAGTTTGGTTCGTGTCCGTTTTGTGTAGATTGCTCCTACAAATACATGATGAACTCCTTTTAGAAGTTCCTGGGGACGAAATCAAAAGAGTGGCAGGTAAGACTCGGAAATCAACAATCTTCTTTTTTCGGCAGGCTCTTGTAGAAAAATTCATGATGAGCGATGATGTAATCAGTAGTAACGCTAGAATAATTTTGAATTCTTCTTTGATGGATACAGCATACACCAAATCGATTATGGAGTCTACAGAAGAACTGCTTGGTAGCAAAGTCAAGCTGAAGGTAATGGGCTGGTATAGACAATTAAGCTGATTTAAAAAAGAATAAACTTTTTCTTTTGTAAAGTTTGGTAAGGGCTCAAGTATCTGCAGCTTTAGCGCGGTACTAAAACCGCTGGTACTTGAACCCTTACCCCACATGTTAAACGCGTGTTGCGTTGCCACAATTTTTACCATTCTGCCTTAAAATGACAGAAAAGATAGCTTATTCAAAACTTTTAATTTAGTGATAAAACATTTAACCTACAACATCTATTTTACATAGGTACCCCTTCCTGTGACTCTCAGCATTGGAAAGACCTGGGGACATATGGAAACCCTCTCTATCTGAGTTCCTTTTCACATTTCTTTATAATTTTTTACAAGTGGGAAAATAAATTAACTTGATAGCGTTTTACTTATCTTGACTCCGTAACATAGGACGTAACAATGCACTGTTTAATTCTTATCGGGCTGCCTCATATTTATTGTATTCCAGCTTGTTGTGCGATTTATCATTGTAAATTATCCGATGATAGGCCGAAGTTAGGGAAATGATCCCATCGAGAAAAGGGCAGATTACCAGTCTAATACGATGATTTTCTACTCATTAGGCAAAAATAATAATAATTTTATGCAAACAACTATCGTTTCCTTGCTCACAAATACCGGAAAGAAGACCGCCGTGGAGGAGGATGTGTGGCAGGCGGTTTCCTTTCCGAGAGAAGAAAATGAAACGTTTCGTTATCTGCGAAAAAGCACAGATGATCAGTTGACAAGTTCAATTAAATGACGTTAAAATGTTTCAGCTGATAGCAAAGTCAAAATGTTTCTCCATTTTCAATTTATAAAAAGTGATGTTTGTCTAACATATTTTCCACCACTGTAGAGTCTATTTGAAGATGACGGACTGAGCAACTTCGATTTATTCGAGCAAGTAGACACTGAATTTTTAAAATTTCAATAGTATGCACTGGTTTTCCAATTTCTTTTTATCGTTACACCTCAGTAAAAACCTAATAAAAACTTGACGTTTCTTTCATCGCGGTGTCTGCCTTTTCAGTAATACACCAAACAATTGTTCACAGCTCTTATTAGCCGTTTTCTCCACCTGATTAAACAAGGTATCTTTTAAATTAAATGATTTAAATACCATGTCCATTACCTAACGTGAACATTGATCTTGCGGGGTAGAAATCAGATTACTTGATCTGAAGTGTAATAATTTGGAGCGCGTGTCGACTCTTTTCCACTTGAAGAGAAGCTCTGTTGCACTGGTCTCACTTTACAAGAACAACATTTCATTCGCTCCTTAAACTCCAGTGCGACTTCTTTGTATGCTTTGCGATAGTTAGAGCAGCGAAGTGCGTAGATTATCGGGTTTATAGCCGAGCTACAGTACAGAAGATAGGTACAAATGTAGTGTAAAATGGGACGTTTCTGTGGTATCACAAATTCGACCACCACGAATGGAACGTAAGATAAGAAAAACCCGATAACTTGGATCAGAAGTAATTTCACAACTTTTTGCTTTGATTCCTGATCTTCCTCAACACCTTCGTTGCAAATTGTCTTGCTAATGTAAAGTTCTATTAAAATCTTACCGTAACAGAAGGTTATGATACTCGCGGAAAACGCAGCGAAAAAAACGATTGTAACAGCGTATGGCGTTTGGTTCCAAATGTACGCGCATTTTTGTCTTTCCTCGTCAAACTCAGCATAAAGAATGGTAGGCATATTAAGCAGAGTAGCGAATAACCAAAGACCCGTCACATACTTCCATACTGCGCTCTTCTCTATTCTTAACTGCGTGTTCATCGGTTTAAGCAGAGCAAAATATCTCTCTACAGCGAGGAGAGTCATTGTACCCACGCTCACGACAATTGAGATCCCGCTCATGTTGTTCATGGACAAAAACTTGCACAAAAACTGGCCTCCTTCTTCATGTACGTGGGTCAAGGAATTAAGTATAACAAAAGGAACACTCTAAAATGCTATCCACAGACCAGCTACAGCCAGGTTTGCCAATAGGAAGTTTGTCGTGGTGTGCATATGCTGGAACTTTTTTATAACAAATAGCACCACTAAGTTTCCTAGAAAGGCGCCTGATATCAATATGCTGTAAGCCAACGCGGTAATGACTGCTTTTAACTCCATTTTGGAATCGCTAGGAACTTTTGTACAAAACTAATTTTCTTGAGAATCACCGCTTGTAATATACATGGGTCAAGTCCTCAATCCTCTTTTTATCCTCCCAGAGACAGGGGCAGAGCAATGATCGATGTCTAGGGTGACAACTTTATCTTCTATTGCCCTCTTTGCTCAGCTGTTGATTCATTTCACACTTTTTCAAATATAGATGTCCATGTAAATTTAAAGTTAGACAATTTTAACCAATGATCTTAGGTCAAGAATCTGCAGTTTAGTGGCTGATTGTATTTGATTAAATTTTCATTTTGATAAACCAGATCTAAGGGATTGTGTGCAAAATTAAAATAAAAAAACAAACAAAACAAATTAGTAAACGAGATCCCGATGTTACATTTCGTATAGAATCCACCTTACAGCCTCTTAGAGTTCATGTTGTTAAGTGGTGAATGATCACAAAGGGAACTCGGAATTATACAGGAGTTACTGAAAAATAACCGCCCTTGAAATTGCACCTGGTTTTGTTTAGTTTTTATTATCGCTGACAGCCCTGTTGACAAATATAATATCTATACTGATACTGAGAATCGGTGGTTGGTCCCAAGCGTGTGACCGACTTTTAAAGATGGCCAAGGAAGTGAATAAATATGTGGCTTTTGCATCTGATGGGTTGTCCAGACAAACAAAAGTTGACAGATAACTTCACGATTCGCTTTAGCTCTGGCTGACCCGGTTGTATGCTATTAGAGTGGTTGACGATCGAGAATCAGAAATGATGCGGAACTACTTTCAGTCGAGTGTAGGAAGTAATCGGATGCTACGATTGTTTTGTTTAAGAAAGCGCTTCGATTGAGTGTCGTTTAGCCAAAACTAAAGTGAGTACAACGGCCAATCAGAACAAAGGAAAATATCACTGGTTTTTAATGAGAAGTCAAGATGAAAACAAGAAAATTGCTTGAAGCGCAGGAAAACGAGAACGAATGAGTTGCGTTCGATTTCAGTATTAAATCCGTTAGTTTAAAAAGGATGGCGCCAGTTTTGTATAACGCAGGCAGAGCAAATTAAGACAAAACTGATGCAATTGCGGATTGCTTTGGACTGTCAAATGAATGTTGTGTTATTTGCCCCTGTGGTTGGTCTTTGAATGGCCCATGAAACCCGCGCGCTTTCCTCTCGACCAGTCATAAACAAATCGTGACTGGATCAGTCGCATTTCCCCGCGTTTCGTGCTTTTTTGCTTCGTTCATTTCGCGTTTGCATTGGCTACTAGAAATATTTACAGTTTGACTGATTTTAGTTTATTTTTACGACTTTTACTCGATTCGTACTCTTTTTGTCATGGTCACTCAGCAATCATCGAACGCTGCTCCACCGAAATCCTAGCAATCTTTATTAGGTCTCTCCGAGTGTGTTTTGTTGCCATTTACTGTTTCTTTGGGACTTTCCTACTTCTTTGTCGGGCCCCATGACAAAAGTCGCTCAGCTTTCAAGTGGACCAAATACCAAAAGAGAAGATGAGTTCATAACTAACATTCTCTCCGTCTATTAACATGTTGCCCTAACTTCGAGTGAGTTTCTGGGGTCTTTTCTTACGGAAAAATAGATTTACCGAATCATTTAATTAAAATGCAATTTTCTTGCAGTAAGGAGCAAACTTGATGTCACCAGTTATTCTTGAGCAATACCGAGGCTCACCCCGGCTGTTGTCAAAGCAACGTACAAAACTGAATTCTGGGGCAACGTTTGCATGATGGACTTACATCACAACTTCCACGATGATTGCCAAAACGGCTGTCGCAAAAGCAACGGCTTGGCCCGGCTTTGGAGAATACTGATACGAATTTTGAAATCTTTACAAGTATACTGCGATAAAAGACAGAAGGGTCAACTTGATCACCTGACCGATGATTTACGGTGTGGAGATCTTAGATTTTCTAGTTGTATTAATAATGGTAATTGAACTGAGTGGAGTGCAATTTGGGCTGAAATCATATGCGTGATTCCAAAATTGAACGAGCGCGCAGCGCGAGTTCGATTTGAAATCACAAGTATGATTTTAGACCAAAATTGCACAACACGAGGTTCAATTACCACTTTATTACATCCGTTTTGAAATCGCCCAAATACAGGACTTGGTCAGTTCAAATATTTTATTAATACAATACTGAGCTGGTTTGAAATTAAATTCATCCATTTTTTGGGAGGAAAAAATAAGAGTTTTGGAAACAAAAGTTGCAAAATTTGCCATATGATACTCCATGTCTTTCATCTTCCTGCAATATGATCGGTTACTTTAAACAAGCCTTGAAGTCTGATTGGTTGTTTTGTTTTTAGTGTAGCCTCCTCACTGGCTGGGGAAAAGATGCGATTTAAAGCAAAAAATGGTGCAATTTGTGAATAAATCGCACCAATTAGAGCCAATCAGATTACAGGGACCATCAGTGATTTCAAAATGGGTGTAATAATATCCTATAATCAAACCATAGATATTGCAGACTTAATTTGGATATTCAGTGGTTCAGTTGCTGGAAGTATGCTTGCATTAGTGTCGCCCGCGAAGATTTAAACCGATGAGTATGACTGACAGCCTCCATACTATCTGCAATAGGAACATATGTCAGTGACAATAACATCATCCTCAAATGATATAACCGTGTCATGTTTAGCATGAGATATTTTATTTGATGACTTTGATAATGGAGTTAAAGTAAACATTGGTACCGTACACCTCATTCTGTGAAAGAACGCAATGTCAGTATTATTTCAGCGTTCACTGATTGTACATACTAAGAAGCGCACTATGAGCGGAGAGGATAGATCGGTAACTCAGCTGATCCTACAACTATTGAAACGAAATCACAGAAGCATCTCTGAGTTTAATGTTTAAGTTTTATGCAGGAAACCGAGAAATTTAAGAGATCTGTTTTGAACCGTTGCGTGCGGGATATTCACAGAGTTGAGAAGGGGATAGTTTGACGCCAAAAGCGTCTATAACTTGAGCTACCAATGACGCGTGGCATACCTTCTTGGATTGAACGAGAGATCGTGAAGCAAGTACAATCTTCGTTAAAGAAAACGTAGAAAAAAGTCGTGAATAAATGAAATTATACAAATAGTGCTAATTTTTTGGTCTCATTTATTGTCCTTTAACAATAAAAGTTGTCGAGACAAGAGTAAACAAAATTTCAAAGAGCATACGCACAGCTGCGGACTGGACAAACCAACTTATACAGAATTATAAAAGGTGATGTACCAAATTCAATATGTTCTTTATAGTTTTTGTTAACACAAACGTGCAGATGGCCAAGAGCTACAATCGAAAACCACCCCATAAAAGAAGTGATCTCTACCTTCCACTTACCTTTAGGGAGGCAGGCATAGTCTTCCGTTAACAGTTACAGCTTCGACTATTGAATCAAGATGAAGACACTTCTCATCCTAGTCTTGGCGGTTTTTAGTGCTCATGGTAAGATGCATAAGTATTTGTAGCACAAATAATGAGTTTCTTTCTGGTCCTACTCACAGCGGAGTCCAGAAGCCTCAGACGGTAATACCAACACCGTTTTGACTCAGTTACAATTTGCAATCATCATCAGCCTCGTAGGATTTGTAATCAGATATAGTTTGACCCTCTATGTTCTTGCCATTTTAGTGTCCTTTCCAAACTCTCGCTCGAAATGCTTATTTATTACTATAGATGCTTTAGTTCAACATGGCATACGTCGGCGGCTGACGATGTGAGAATAAAAAGAAAACTCAAAACAGACATTGAAGCAATACTGAATGGATGTCCTAACCGTGGCAAATTTAAAAAAAAGGCCTCACTTCTTTTCTAGGTTTTAATCTCACCGGAATTTTCCTACTTCAGTTTTAATGTCTACCCCAGAGAATTCCCCTCTTCCCGCTGAAAGTAGACTCCAAAGCCTTAAGGTCACTTATGACTATGCATGAAAATTGAGCTAGAAAGGTGCGGCGAATGCGGCAACATTCCAAATTTAAAGAGGATTCATTGCATACCTACTCGTCGTTCCTCTTATAATTGCGTTTTCGATCTTTGCTGACAGGACTTGAGAAGTCTCCCAGGCCACCAGGTTACGGCATATTCACAAAGAATTTCAAAGTGAGAACATTTTTGCGGGCTGGAGGTAACAAGATTTGATTTGATTTGATGCCTAGTGTGTATTTTTAGAGTTATGTCAGCCTTTGCATTACACACCCATCTTTTATCTCTCAGAAGTGTAAATCATGCAAATTTACCAAGTAATTTTAACACTTTGTCCTGAAAACAGTTGTTACTGTTTGGAGGGTATAATCTGATAAAACACAAAATTTTATGACTCAACTTTTAAGAAAAAGTATAGCAGCAAGAAAGCGATGTTGTTCTCCTCGTATAGTAGCACCCCGAAAGAGAGAACCTGATGGAGTATTGATTTAAATTAAGAGATTAAAAACTGATCAGTTGATATTCTTTCGGTTGAAGGAGTAAACTTTTTTGTTTTGTCATAGATATCGTCGAAGGGGATATCATGCTGGACAGCAAAACCGCCTCTCTTTACCGTGGAGAAACCAGAAATGCCATGAAAAACGTGAACCTATGGAAAAACGGAGTGGTGCCTTACATTCTTGATTCCAGCGTGGGTAAGTAAGACACCAAACATTGCGACTCTTGCAGTGCTTTCTGCGGTATTTAACAACTACTACGGTGTCGAAGTGGA